AAGACATGCAGGTTGCTGTGTATGTTTTGATTTTTTATATTTGTTAAGTATTTTCGTTTTGGGGAAAAAATGTGCATTACTTTACAGCCCTTTCCCATATTTATAAATTAACTTATAAAGTGATAAAAATGTGGAATACGTGATATCAAAATTCAGACTCACAGACATAGACAGATGTCTTAATTTACAACCGCTACGTTTTTCTGCCTGCAGGGCGAAAAATCAAAATTCAGATTCATACATTTTCACAAAATGCAAATAACTACAGTCAAAGTTAACTAACAACATGATCACTTCTACCTTCATTGTGATACTGAACTGGTTTTGAAGACACTGGACGGACAAAAGCAAATGATGGAATCGAACATTTCACACATAAAATTAATGTCCATATTAACAGTTTTTACAGTTTAGTTGACTATCTTTTATTCAAGTTATGAATACCTTCTACAAGCAATAAATGCTTTCTTAATGTTACACAACACTGAATATTTAATGAAATATTTGTTCTAATTTTTTGTTTCTTTTATGCATTTTTAAGTCTTTTCGTTCAAACTTTTGTAGCATGAACTTCAATGTTAATAAATAGTCCATTTAATGTTAAAACACATTAAAACACTGATGATAACATAACTTAAAAAGCTCAAATCTCTTATGAAGAGTTTAATTTTGCGAGTTCAAGTTATATTAACTAAAATTCTTCTTTTTCCCTCGCTTTGATCTGTATCCCGTATTATCTACAAATCATATATACAAGATAATTAAAATTTGCAAGTGAAAGCAATGGAATAGAGATACGTTATATAACTAATATTGAAATACACAGAAATGCTAAGCTAAAACAGAATGTTAATGAAAATTCCAATAAAAACATTTTAGGATATCGTTTCCACATAACAAATGAAAAATTTCTTTCAGAACTTCACAGAAATAGATTCTAGAATATTTTTACATTTAGATAATTTTATTTTTGTAATACACATGAACGGAATTGTTTCTTTTATTTTTACAGAATTATGCATTTGGTTTTCTTGATAAAATATTTGCTATTACTGTTTATGAAGTAAAGTGTAACTATTTCTTTTTGTGTATTTATCATGAATAAAATTTTTTTTTGAATCTAATGACTTTTCCATCATATTATTTATTCAGATTAGTATTTTATTAGTTTTTTAATATATTATTAAACTTGTGCTTAATCTCCAAAATAAAAAAACTATTAGAGCCCCTAATATATATCGCTGAGAAACAATGACTAAAGTATAATACTGTAAAATACGCAACTAATAATGAAATGTTCTATATATACAAATTTCAAAATAAAAATATAACTAGGTTAGGAAAAATGTCAGAAGATTCTTCCCCCTTCCTCTTTAGAAAACGTATAAATAGTGTAAAAAGAGAAATATGAACACGATTGTCTTATATTATATTTTAAAGGCAAGTAACATTTTATATTTTGTTTTTATTGAAAAATTTTTGGATTTGAAATTTTTAAAATTGACAGTCATCTAATTGACAGTTTAAGTTGGATTTAATTGACACTCATCAGTCTAATTGTATCTAAATAAAATGTACTTGTTAATACAAATATGGAGTAATTAATTATGTGCATTTTCTTCAGATCATGAAAGATAATATCTTTATATTAAAACTTTTATAACCTTAGAAATTATCTTAAATGCTTAACTGATAAACTTAAACGCTAAATTTTCTATTTAATATGTTGAGCATTTAGATTATATTATAATCGAAACATTTCCTCCTCATGATTCTAAGCAGTATAAAAGGGAATAGAAATTTTGAATGAGTTTTGCTTACATTCTACTTCAAAGAAATGCAAAGAGTCTTTCCAAAGCATAATACAATCAACTCTCGATTAACTAGGTCCTGTCTAAAAAAAATTTGTTAATTGGAAAAAAGTACTTCCACATACCATCAGAGCAAAACAAACCTGTTTTCCAGAAAAAGCAGAGTAAAAACGTGAAGAGAAATATGCGAGATAACAGCAGTGGTGATGGCTGGTAGATGAACTCTACAAAAAAAACCAGACCAATTTTTTAAGGCTTTCTATAGTTCTAACCAAATTTTCAATGCGTTTCTTCTTTTATTACTCACAGTATTTTTTCCCTGTTTCGTGTACAGATTTCATTTATGTAACCAAGAGAACTTATTCTTCAGATTAAACTGCTTGAAAAAGGTTCTAACAATATTCTTCTCATCTCAGTTAAAATAAAACGCCAAATAGAGATCATTTGAGGTGCTAATGTAACAAGAATCATAAACTTTCAGGACAATCTTCGAAGATTTAAATATAAAACCCCCTTCTTCAGCTGCAGTAGTGCAAATGTTGAAGGAGGAAGCCCGTGTTTTCTCAATAACAATAAGAGAAAGAAAGTAAAGCTTACTAGTGCCATCTTTTAATAAAAATGAAATCAGTTACGAAATAATTTTCTCAAAAGTGGAGCGCATTATAACTGAAAGATTTTTATGAACGTGAAACGCTACTAGAAAATTTAAATTCGAATAATAATTCTAATGTAATTGGAAACTTATATTTAGGTTCTGCAGACCCTATTAAGCAGTCATCGTGTTATCTTAAGCAAATCACAAATACTAAAGAAGGTTAAAATAGCCTTTTTATTTCGTCTTAAATTCAACAGAAAACTCACAGCATGTGCTAAAATGAATTTTCGTTAAATGAATATAACGGAAAGTTAACTTTCAAATGTAGATAACGTAGTCAGAGACTACACATAAAACAGACTATTTAAGTTGGATCAGAATTTTACCGGCGCATATTTTGCATTGTGGTGAGGAATACGGAAAGAAGAAATTATAATAAAGCATTAATCGCGGATGTCATTGTTGGTGTTACTGCGGTTAATAGAGAATTGATTATATTTTAATCTAAATTAGAGAAACGATACAGCTTATATACATGATTCTCCGATATTATTTGAAACTCTTCCCTGAAGTGAATCCAGAATATCTAAGTAAAATGATGTTTGGAATAGGTATAACAAGGAAATAATTCTATGATAAAATGAAAACAAAAACAGAATGTTACTCAATTTCATCGACATAAAGCAATCAAAAATAGTTATTTCATAAATAACTGTTAATAATTTAATGTAACGAAAAAAGTACTTTAGATATTTTTTTAAATGAATATGAAATGTTTAAAATGATTTGAAAAATCGCTGAAATTTCAAACTGAAAAGGAGATTAGTGCTAAAACAGTATGGAAATTTCTACTTAAAAGACTTCGTGACAATAATCTTCTCGAAGTGAAATATAAAACATAATTTAAATTGAAATTGGAAAAACATGCTAGTGTAAATTTTAAAGAAGGAAAGCAACCTCAATTTGGCGTATATTTTGAACAATATACGATTAGACCTATCGATTTTGAGGATAATCTCCAATCTTTTAGTTTTTATGCTGAATACATAAGCCATAAGTTTGATCGCTGTCGCATTCGATATAATTTCATTCAAAATCCACGCCAAACTGGGGTTATTTTCCTGCCCAATTTCAAATATTTTAAACTGTTTTGCCATAGAAAATATTGCTTTTGATCCAAATTGCTTGAAAATATTTTGAATTAAATACATATATTTTAAATTAATGATTTAAACTTATGTTTTGAGATCGGATAAAATACAAAACAATATATATATTGTTTTGTATATATATATACAGAAGTATAAAACGCCTATTAAGGCATGAAAGACGATCAAAATGAGTAAAATCAAAACAACAGAAAAACATACAGAGATTTTTATAAAAAATAAAATTAAAAAAAAAAAAAAAAAAAAATCGTATAATAATACGTAGAAATTGAACATTTTTTTCCTTTTCTCAATAGATAACATAATATCGTTATTGGAAAAAAAAAAGTGAAATGGCAATTCTATCATTTCGAAAGGATTCTGGCTAAGGAGTTTTCTCGATTTTTTTGGTGTTATGTGACGATATCTTGTGCGATCTGAAGGGTTATTTAAAGGAGACCAGGTGAAGGAGCTATTTGTACGGTCGGTTTCATGGCGTTCCCCATGTGTAACGGGAATATTAGAGGCAGTCTTCTTTAACAATTTCACCGTGCTACAAAACTCAAACGTTTGCTTCTTCCCCCCTCCAAATATAAACTTTTTAAGCCTGAAACTGGACTTCCAAATATTTTCTTTCTCCCTTTCACCAGCTGCCAAGACCTATTTAGAAAACCGCCTACCAGTCGCATGTTGTGCTTACTACTCAAAGATGTTGAATATTGTCTTTATACCCAGCTCTTTTGTGTTTCCTAACCTCTCATCTGAAAATTAACAAAGACGATCCCATGAAAGCATAATTTTAAGGGGGCTCATACACCTTAAACCCCTTATTATCTTCGAATATGTGACTGTTGCAAGAATTGGGATACTTTATTTATTTTAGAAGCAATTACTTCCAACTTTTTGCAGCTGACTACATAGCTGCTTTGGAAAATAACAACCAGAAAGTTTGTGTTGCTACAAATATTTTTGTAATTTAATCCGCTTTGTGACAAAATCTTTCGTCGTGTTTCCACCTTGCGCGCATGATATTTTAAAAAATGGCTGATGGTACATACTTGAAATTTGATGGTATTCTTATATGGGTACTATTTTCTAACTGAACACAAAACCCGATGAATCTCTTAATATTAAAAAAATTTATGCCCGAAATCATTACATATTTTTTAATAAAATACATTTTATAAACTCAACTCCAAATAAAATAAAAATTTAATATGAAATTCTTAGAATTTTTAGTTCACAGTTTCCAAATGTTATAAAAGCTATATATTAAATATAGAATTAAATTATGCAACAGAATGTTTTAAACTGCGCGCGAAAGGTGGAAACACGACGAAAAATTTTGTCACGAAGCGGATTAAATTATAAAAATATTTGTGACAACACAAACTTTCTGATAATTATTTCAGATAGCAGCTATACTATGTAGTCAGCTGTAAAAAGATGGACGTAATTGCTTTTAAAATAAATAAGTTATCTCAATTCTTGCAACAATCACATATTCGAAGATCTTATGAGTTTTAAGGAGTATGAGTCCCCTTAAATCAGCAGTAGTTCCTTTGCAATATCAGCTAAGACGGGACTGGAGGTGCGCTCTTATTTCTTGTCTTTTTAAGAGAACTTTTTTCTCTGCGATCCTGACACAACCCCGCTATGGAGAGAGCGTGTCCAATTTAGCAATCAATCACCTTTTTAATTTTCGCTGCATTCTGCGGGGGGGGGGCTGGAAAAAACAGTGTCTCTCGGGAGCAACGATCCAGGCCACATTTAACAACATCTAAGTGTGTGACACCTGAAGACAGTTTTCAAATCAACAAGTCCGTGTCGGGGGAAATGGTGGAGTGATTCGTGACCTTAGGTAAAAAGCTGGAATTATTCAAGTGGAAGATCTATAAGCTAATATTACAGGTATTCGGATACTTCTGCTTACAGTGCTGTCACGGTAACATCTAACAGCTGCGTGCTACATCTCTCCTCTCTACTGCGTACTTTTTTTGCATTTGCAAGGAACATTTATAGCATTAATTTAGAAGTCAAACAACAAAAATCAGCGTTATGTTTTCAAATTTTCACAAGACTAGTTTCGATCGTTTTACCAAACTATCCTCCTCAGCTGCAAAAGCTTGCAGCTGAGGATGATGAGATACTTGTTCGGCGTTTTATTGTATCTTAACATTTATAGCATTTACTATAGTATCAAACACTAACACAGAGCTCCGAAAGACACTGTGCTGGAAAGTAAATTTCCTTGCATAACATAAAAAAAGACAGTATAATATAGTAGTAAACAGATAACTAAAATAATTTGAAGCTATATCTGGAGTAAACACACGCAACGCTGCACGGAGAATTGTCTGAATTTTATATATTGCTTTGGCTTTCCTTAGTTCTTAGCTTTTTAGTGTACATCTTTCTATTTCAGTAACCCGGCAGGGAAAAAATCGTGAAACCTGCAAACTCCAGAATGGCTGGGGATCTAGGATGCCACACTCTCTTCGAAATGATACAATTGCCAATCTTATATTGAGTAATTAACAAATATGGTAAATCATCCCTTTTCTGTTGATTATTTTAGCAGACGAGAAATAAGTAAATTACAGGAAGGTTTGACAATGTAATTCTTTGTGTTTTCAAAGATTATGTTCGGTTAACAGTTTTACATATACACTGAAAAATATGACAATTCTGACTGAAAAATATGACAACAAGAAGCATTTACAAAGTTATTCTGCACAATATGCCAATATTAAATGAACTCAGATAATTCGAATGTATATAATACAGCTTTTCATGCAAAATGATAATTTCTAATGAAATACCTACCGTCAAATTATTCACAACATTTTTATTTTCACTTTTGAGTTTATGAGAAAATAATAAGGTTAAGTGAATAGATGATATGTTACGTCATTAGTAAGAAATGCATTCTCCTTTAATAAATTATATATTGTCTAAATTCCATCTGTTCTCATATTAAGACTTTAACCTAATTGCATAAAAAGGAACTTTAAGAGAATTTACACATTGTTTTAATCTTTGTTGCAACTGAAGCCAATGGATTTGGCATTTTTATATATTCTGTATAGATGTATTATCCGTATATACAGGTTTAAGATAAAACTTCTATAAATTAAAAACAAATTAGGAATGTTCACGTTGGTGAAATGCTGTTTGTTATACCAGATGTTTAGGACAACTCTAAAAAATTCAACTTTTATATGAGGTACAAAAAATATCTTTGTGGGCGAGACATCACGCAGCCACATTCTCAGAAATAAATATTCTTGAGCATTACATTTCTTAAAGTATAAATAGAAGATGATGATGGAAAAGCATAAGTCAGTATTATAGTTACATACTGAAAATGTTCTGCACGTCAAACAGTAGTCATATTCCAAGACTGAGTTGGTTGCGCACTGGTGTCTCGTGAAATATTTCTCAAAGGAGCTTCCGACAAGGATTTTGCAGCTGTATCACAATGGACTACTGTCTCTAATGAATCCGTATGTTGCAAGAAGCATGAGTTCCTCAAACTGCAGCCATCTTCCAGGTTGTCCAATGGATTGAAAGAATCAGAGTAACCCGCACTGCACTGAGAGGGACCGTTGCCTATAACATCAGCTGTTACAGTTTGTGGGGTTTGGAATGTTGATGAAGATGATGATGAAAAGCTAGAGGGAAACTTGCTACAAGTTCCATACTCTACGGTATTAATTTCTCTGGTTCTAGAAGGCTCAGTATCTGTTTCAAGCAAAAGAGGTCTTTTAATGCTTGCTGTTCCAGACTGTTCCCTTGGGTGCTTGCTCAAGCTCCCAGGAGAACCATACATAACATGAGGATGGCTGGCGTATCTCCAGTGCATCTTAGGATAGCCATCCCCTCTCTCAAGGGGATCGCAAAATGCGTCCCCTTCTGCTACCAAATGATGTGGACTACCATTTGTGATTCCACCATGTTGGTATGGCTTAAAAATGGGCGTATGGGTTTCATCAACTGTGGATTCTGTATGCTGATAATTGCGCTGGCCCAGCAGCTCCGCTGCTGCTTCATTTCGATGAGATCCTACGGAATCGGACAGAGACGCCTTTTCTATCTGTGAATACATTCGTTTTATGCGCTCCGCACGCTTTTCTGCGTCTATATGCATCTTCCTAGAATATGGATCATCTACAATTTCTGGTTTGAGAAAACCTGCAATAGATAACAGACGAGATCATCCCTTATTTCATCCAAAAAGTTTTTTTTTTTTTTTTTTTTTAATTGAAAATTGTGATTTAACTTTTTTGAAATAAAAATCTACTTTAAATACACAAAAATTTTTAATCTTAAATAAAAAAAAGTCAAGTTAAAAGTCAGTTAGACAGCCTCCTATTAGATTCCAGAAAGTCTAGAAAGAGAAAATCTCGCCTAGAAAGTCTCCTACAAAGGTATTCCTACCCTTAGGAAAATAGCCCTCGTGTGCTTTGCCGTATTCAAATGACCTAGCCGAAAACGGCCAACACCTAATAACATATTAAATTTTGAGGCTACAGAAACAAATTATTGTAGCCACTTTTCGTTTGTTTTTATTAATCTATTTTATACTAACTGTAATAAAAAAGATCCGATTGTTTGATGTTTAATTAACTAAGTAACAATGTTAGGTACTTGGGTACCAACCGAAACATAGCTAATTAGTACCATAAAAGACGCTGCTATCCTACGAATGCCCGCCAACCTCAGAAGTTCTAAACTGTTCCAGAAGAAGATGTATTTTTAATTTTTGTTTCATTTTTTTGTTATTAATATTCTTAGTTTGGATAATGAAAGGGGGCCAGACGGTTTTTTTCCCATTTCGTTGCCAATTTCGAACCAATTACAGCAAGCGCATAACTGTAATTCGTAATTTTTAAATAATCCTTTCATCGTGGAAAGTTCTTGGGGCAACGCTTATTTGTTTCGTGTTCGTTTATTCGTCTCGTATTAATTTTCGTCACATTTTGCATTATGCTTTCATTGAATCTGCCAAGAAATGAAGTGGAGGCAATCCATTATTTCTAATGTGGTATTTTTTGAAAACCTCACGCATGCTCCAGTTCTTACGCAATGAAGTTGTGCGTGACCTTAGACCACAGTTTAAACTATAGTATACGCACTAGTAATGGTACACTACATTAATTTTAGTGGCACAACTTTTATGCAAAATTTAAATGATTAATCAAAATGAAGCATCTTTTGGTGCGTATATTGGTACACGACAGTACATAATGGTACGTATATTTTGGTTTTTAGTTATGTGGTACAAAATTTAAAAAAATTGACAACGTCTGGCATAGACCATTGGCTGGTGCACTTGCGGATTGTGGCAGTAGAAGCCTTCAATAAAACAGACGTTGAATTTTTAAACTGTCAAAAACTGTTATTGACGATAATTGAATGCTGCGGTGGAAGCCTGAAGATGATTAGAATTGAGGGCAAGACAATTGGAGGATACAATTTAGTTCTAACAGCACGATACAACGATAAGCATGGCTTTATTCCTACTTTATTCCATAAGGCATGTTGAGATACATTTTAGAAGATTTTACGGTCTAGAAAATGCATCTATGAAGAAAGAAGTTACTTAAAGAACATTGTTTTCTGAGTTTCGGGGACATTTAGAGGGCAATGAATTTCAAAGTTTGATATTTGTATCATTCATATTGACTTGCAGAACTCGATTTAGCATATACGCGTTATCTTAATTGTTTCCATTTAATTTATCCAACTCTAGAGTTTCATTTATACACGGATCAACGTTTATTTATCAACATTGACTGTATACTAGCATAAGCTTTGAAAAGAAGTTAACAACAATTTTAAAGGATTTCTATCGACTGAAAATAACGCTAAAGAAATTGCACAGATTACAAAAGCAATTAGCTGCGAAAAGTGATCAGATATAGAAGAAGGACAAGCCAAAAATTTATCGTGAAATGATAAATGAAGAAGTGGATATTTTATAACACCAGCCAACAGCGAAAGCAGCGATAAAGAAGATAAAGTATCGTCTATGCATAAAAAGTCAAACGAATTGTTAAAAAAGTCACACGAACTATCTGAGTTTGCAATGGAAATTGACTCAAACGAAGAAACAAGAAGATATTTTATGAGAGGCTTTGAAAAACCCTGCACTCCTTGTAGAGATATTAGGTTAATTGGAAAACCGGAGAGATGGAAAATCAGCAACCGCCTTCGACGGGAATCGAACCACGGGCCTCTGGAATACCGTCCCAGAGTGCAGAACCACTACACCACGAAGGCACGCTGGGAAAGCGGGAGAGATAACTTATATCCTTACTGCTACACTTTTAAAATATTGCGTCACTCAATGTCTCAAATAAAAAATAACCACTTAATAATTGCATAATGTGCTTACTAAGCAGAAAAAAAAAATTCTTTCAACTAACACCTTTTTTTTTTTTTTTTTTTTTTTTTGTTTTGTTTTTTTTACTTCCTTGTACGAAGTAAATTATCGTTATCTTCGGCTATAATATCTCGAAGAAAATATCTATTTTCACCGCTCTCAAATTAATTAAATTATGTTTTTTTCGTGACATCTATATGTTCGGACAGAGTAAAGGAGTCTTACCCAAAGAGGATTGTAAAATGGATTAAAAATACATTCAGAAGAGATTTTTTCTGTGACGTCTATATCTACGTACGTATCTCATAAAGAAGTAGCCTCAGAACGTTTCAGTTTAGCATGTATGATTGCTATAACTTGTAGATGTGCACTTCTCTTTTTGTTTGCAATCGACCCGCACTGAAAATATGTAACTATACATATATACAACCACTCTGTTACCCGGCTCGGTGAGCTCAGTACTTTTATTTTTTTTATGTTGGTAAATTGTGCATTTTTTGCTTTAAAAATGATTGAATTATGTTATTCTTACATTTCAGTTACGACTTTTATGCCTTTAGTTAATCTGCATGTCATAGTTGTAGAATTATCAACAGTTTAAAAATTTAAGTGGCGCTAAGCCTAGCGAGGTAGCCGTTTGTTTACATTTGAAAGTCTTAGAATAGTGAATCAAGTTATAGAACAGAAAGAATGGTGAATTATGTTTGTTGGTGCACCGATTTCAGTGTCCTTTTGCACAGTGGTACCAAAAGCTAACTTTCAATTTTGTGCACTGAAAATTCGGGTTTGGCGTTGAAACTCTATTTTTAATAGGAAAAACTGTTTTTTTAAATGCTTTCAATTGTATTTGGTGTTTTAGGTTTTTCTGTATTTTAAAATTTTTAATGAAGATGTTTTGAGTTTTTATGTATTTTTGCCTTGTCGCGACGTGAGCACTGAATTAATTGAATGAGAACTAAATCTCTAACGAAATTTAAAAGAACTGGTAAATTAACATTGATTAACATTGATTCAATCAGGAAATACTTTCAGGAATTAAGTATAAAGTAAGTGCAGCAAAAAATGTATGTAATTTAATAGGCCATACAAGGAAGCTTTGTAGTGTCCACAACATATTTTTTCTTTTTATTTACAACAGTATTTAAATTCGTGTAAATTATATATATTTTCTTCATCTGAATCATACTTTTTTCAATAGAAAGTAACTTTGAGAAACTTCATTTTGCCGTAGGGGGTAAACCCCATTTGCTCTACGCATATGTAAGGCACATAGCCCCCACGTTAGGGGGGGCTATTTCAAAATACGTGGTTACGGTATACGTGTATTTTGTTACTTGTTAATCACGTAAAATTACAGCAAGCACTCTCCATCGTTCTGTAGTTATTTAAAATTGGTTAATTGAATAAGTGCCATTGTATAATACTGAATGCTATGTTGTTTTGAATGATAAAAAAAGAATATTCTAATAATTTATAAGGTTTATCAATGTTAATTTACCAGTTCTTTTAAATTCTGAATCAGTGCTATCAATTCTCTCTTTCCATTTTCCAGCCAGAATGCAGATTAGTTAGCGTGTATTTAAGTGAGGATTTGAGATTGTTTAGACAGAGCGTGTTCTGCCTGTTGAATGGCCACGTTACTAGTTTGTCATTTTAAGATAAGCGTTTCTGTCTTCGTCATTGCTTTATTCTTGCAGTAAGCTCAAAAGCTACTTTCGCGTTTAAATTTTTCTGAGTAGCCTTGGGTTAATAGATGCTTAGATTTCATTTTAGTTTTAAAATTCTGCTTTTGAGTTCTCGTCATAATTGCTGGTGAATTGTAAGCACCAGGTATGCTTCTGTTCACCTTACTTACTTTTAAATAACAGGGACTTTTTGTTAAACAGTTCTCAAGTTTCTGATCTTACTTCAAACTTAATGATAAGTCTTTTAATGCCTATCAAATAAGTGTTAAAATAGTGAAAGACTTTAAAACTTTAAGACTAATTTAAGAGACATTTTACGATTTTTGAAATCTGTCAGTGAATTTAGCACCAAACTTCTCGATCATATCATTAACTGTTGCAAAAATGTTCGTAAGATATGTTAAGCTTTGGTGTTTTTAAATGATTAATAAATACCGTAGAGAATAAATTATTTAAAAAAAAATCAAAATGTAGACATAGTGTTAGATTGTCATTAATATGAGCAATGTACACGAATTTGCAAAACAGAAGGGAAAAGTTGTTTTTTGCAGTCCCGCAGAATCGAGATTCTTAGTGCGCATGCGCTAGAATGAGACTTTAGGACATGACGTCAGCCTCGATGTTGAAGAAATATAGAGCGAAAGGTTTTGTCTGTCTACGAGAAGAATAGTCACAGTGTCTGGCCGGTGGCGGCCGCTATAGCAACAGAGCTAGTATATTTCAAATAGGGTCGAACCAAGGGTTGCTTTAGCGTTATTTTGTTTTTGGCGACTGTTAGCTGAGGGGAACACAGTTTTTCCTTCATGTTCAAGACACCCCTACGGAAAATGGGTCAAGGCTCGTTTCTGGGACAACAGACAGCTGCAGACTAACTGGCGAGAGCTTTTCTTATAATAGACAGACTGTAAAACTCTACAAGGCTTAATTTATAACTCTGTTTCATCTTAGACAAAGCGATAAATCGCTTACGAGTCTTACTGAGGAACTGCCACAAGTTACATTTAGTAAAAGGTCTATTCTCTACAAATTTAAATAATATGCTTACTTTTAAAGGAATCAGTTCCGCTTCTCATATCAGAGTCCTGTATATTAAGAGAGATGCCATTAATAATTCATTCATATAAAAAGCACTGGGTTTAAAATTGAAAAATAAAAAATAAAGTAAAATGATAACTTTGAAAGCGTAATGTTTACTTTGTTTTAGATTAAAAAAATTTAATTAATTCTAACTCCTACATGATGTTACAGAGAAAGAATAGCTCTGTCATTTAACATGCAGAGTTCAAAATTTAGAAGCATGTTTTCTACTTTTTAAAAATGTTAATGCATTTGGATTAATATTAAATAATAAGCGACATTACATAAACTCCAAAACAAATGAAAGGTTTTTATGGTTAGATAGGCGACATACTTCACGTTCAATTGGTTCATGATTTTCTTGAAAGCAACATAGCAAAAAATTCTGCAAAAAAGAAGAAAGAATATTTAGTAATAGGGTTAGAAAGAGGGGGGGGGGAGGTAAAAATAGCAAGCAAGGCATGTTACAAAAAGTGTTAAATAATTATGCAATCAGGAAATACTTTCAGGGAATATTTCACAATATACATTCATGAAATGTTTCTTCTAAATGGCGTTTAAAGATTACTTACTTTCCTGAACAGCTTCTACAAATATTTTAACTGTTACTAAATAAAATACAGCTGAGAATGTAGTTGTTAATAAACTCACTAAATCTTAACAGTTTATCCTGTGTTTGTATAAAAATTAACTCGACATTCCGGACCAGGAAACATGACAAATCAAGTGCGCTCTTGCCTGGATTCGAAACACCGATTTTCCAGTGCTAAATGTGCTAATCACTTAAACCACCCACAAAGAAATGCGATAATTCCTTATATTCTCCCCACTTAAAGGGCAAATTCAAGTGGCAACGAGTTATTTTTTATCACATTTTAGTTTGGTTTCCACTAAGCAGACTTAGCTTGAATTTTTGAAGTCACAGAGCATCATAAATTAATTATGCCCTAGACGGATTCAAACCACAGGTGTTACATTTTCCAGTTGGATGTGCTAACCATTTACATACAGAGAGTATGCTGGGAGATAATGCGACAATTCGTTTTAAAAGAAACAAAATATTTGCATATGTGATTTATATTCTAGGAAAATTCAGTTCATAAAAATCTTCACAACTCATGCTGGATTTATACATCTCATATAAGAGAAAATATCTAAAAAAGTTCAAATATTTTATTTTCCGTGTCATACGCATGTAAGAACCCCGAAATATTTACACTCGATCGTGTCAAAAGCCACTGAACTTAATGGTAAATTATCCAAAGTTTTGGTCACCACGTAGGGATCGCCAGTGCTTCAAAGCAGGGTATGGGGGAAACCGGTTAGGGCCACTTCGTCTTACTTTTTACCTCCATGGGCAAACCCCACGAGAGGACGTTTGGATCGAGGCACATTTTGATTGCCTTCATGACGCACGGACACTATACATTTACAAACATCCATTTCTGCTCCGGGATTCGAACCTGAGCCGGTACTGTAGTAGTTTTCTCTAGCCACTGGGCAACAGGATGTTCGAATGCTGCAGCAATTAAAATGGCTGGCAACTGGGTGACTCCATCAACTAAGACATAAGTCTATCTTGCAGATGATCTCATTTCCCTATAAATAAAATATATTCATCGTAGACACTAAAAGTTAAGAAACCTCAAAATTGAAACATTACTAATTTTTGTGGCATAAATTCTGTGGTCACTAGAATATTGATTGCGAACTACCATTATTTCGCTTGAGATATGTTTGTTGAAATTGGTTACTGCTTGTGTGGGTGATTCCAAGAATTGCATTTTTATGCAAAAAATACTTTTGCAGAAAATTTCATAACTAGACTTCCCAGAATTCACGAATATGATATAAGCAGGGGTGTTTGTGGGACCCCCAAAAATCCCCTGAAACTTTTACGGACTTACTACGACATTTTGGAGTTTCGAGAAGGGGGAGGGAGAAATGAAAAATTACAATTATGAAGTATTGAATGACCTAATTATAAAAGTTCAATGAATTACTTCTTTTGCAAAATTAATAACCATAAATTTTCAAACATATAAACTACTACATTTTATGTAAATATTTTAAATTACCTGAATTAATTCTTTAAAAAAAATTATCTAATTTCTGCTGCTTTTTTTATTTTCTGATGTTTGTGGGCTTGTCTTTCTTTGGTGGTGAACTTCATAATTGCAGGAAGGTTGACTTTTATTTTCCTCATTTACAGTTGAAGAAATTTCCTCAAGAACTGCACATGCAGAGGTAGAAGCAGTTTGCTTTTCTGCTAATGTAGAAGATTTTTCAGAGACTTTTATAGGTGATTCATCTGAAATACATGTTTTTAAGTCCTCTTGATATGTTTTCCAACTTCTGTTCATATTCAGTAAGAGATCTTTGTGAATTGGATCAGTCATTGGATTTTTTGAGCCATATTTTTCACATGAGGTTTCTTTAGAAGCTATTAAATCATAGTTAATAGTCTGCACTGCATCTAGGGAATCAATCTTAAGAGAGGTTCTATAGTCAGTGACAAGTGTATCCATTAAGTTGAATGCACTTTCCACTAATGGGCCATGGAATCAGCTAAGGCAGGCTTTGACCAATTTAGCCAATGTAATATACTTATAATCATTTGTGAAATCATCTTTTAAATTAAAAACTTTAGACCAATATTTATCAATTGTACACTTGACTTGATTTCCACTTTCATCAGATGTGTAGAGCATTTCTTTGGTGATATCAATATCACTCTGGTATAACCTTATTTCAGCTTCTACTTTTGACTTTTCATTATCACTAAAAATATGGGACATAAAAGATGATAATTTTTCAAAAGCTAATATTGTACTGGTTTTACCTTTTAGCTCCGGATCTAATGCTGCAAAACTAATTAGATATGAATTTTTAAGGGGTAATTTCTGTTTCATATGCTGTGCTGTATTAGTATAAGCTTTCATCAGAGAAATTTGGAATTCTTTTGCTATTGGATGATTTTTTGATAATTTCTTCAGGAGAGTGGAAGCTTCTGCACCAGTAAATATTACTTTGCTAGGTAGATGGAATTCTGGATTTGTGACATCAACCTTTAATAAATCATTATAAGATGTGCACTCCATATTTTCTGGCTTCATAAAAAAAGAGAAAAATTTTGATATCAATTTATAAATACTGGAATGTATTAAATGAAGCATTGTTTTTTTTATTTCAAATAATTTAATATATGTGTTGAACTCTGGTAATAGTGCTGAATATAATGCCATATGCAATAAAGTTTTGTTTTGCATAACAAATAACCCATTTAGTATTCTTTTTTTCCGAGCTAAAGCATCCTTTGTGAGTTGTTGGGAATGCAAGCAAGAATACACCCCTTCAACAATTTTTTCTTCTGAGCTGCAGAAAAATATTTCTTTTATTGTATATAGTTTCAACATAAGAAAAAATAATCCCCTTTCAGTTTTATCCAAGTAGTGAAAATAAAATGCAATAAGAGCATCCCACAGATCTTTGATTCTTTCTAAAACACATAAAATGTACACCCACCTATGGTCTGGTCTCTTGAAGGGCTTAAGTTTTTTAATGGCAAGGGATTCACAAATTTTGAAAAAATTTTCTCTTTTACTGCAGCTTTTCATATCAAAATAGATGTTATCAAACAAATCTTCTAAGTATCTATCAAAACATGAAGCAAATTTTTTTGCACAGTTATTAGCTGTGTGACATGTGTCACCATCAAAATCTAATAAGTGGGGTGCTTTGTTTGATCGTAGTCTGGTTTCAACACCTTTTTTTTTTCCACGTATGGTGTTACATGAGTCCATTAATACACTAATTAAGTTTGCCCATGGAATATTATTATCTTCAATAGTATTAACAACTGCTTTAAAAACAGCTTCTGAATTGCAAGATTCCATCTTTAGATATGCAAAATGATGAACTACAACTTCATTTTGATTGTTGTCATAAAACTGCACCAATATTGCCAGTATACTTTCATGAGCATTGCTAGTACTTTCATCCAAATTTAGAGAAAATGGAGTCTTCTTGAAAGTTTTAATGATATTTTCCTTAATAGTTTTTGCGAGCCCATATTTCATCTTATAACATGCAGTAGTCCTGGACATTTCCAACGAGTTTAGTGCCGTTTGATCGCGGCTCAACTGTTTGCAAAGTTCAATTAAATTGGGAGCTACATTGAAAGAAAGAGAATTCTCGCCGATAAACGAAGTTGTTAACACCTCTTGGCGTGCTTTTCTTGTCACTATATCCAATGGCTGAGCATCAGTCTCCAGTAAGTCATCAGTATTTTTTGAATTAGCATAATTACTTAAAGTCATTGAATGTCTAATGCACTTTGAATATTTTATGTGCGTCACAGTTTTAGAATGATTTGTGAAAGCCTTGAATCCTTCCCCACCATACTTCAGCAGTGAGTTACAAAAAAAAAAAAAAAAAAAAAAAAAAAAACACAATATATGCTTGTCCAGCAACATTTATTTTCTTGCACCATGTGCCGATGGTATCCCCATTACCATCTCTCCGTTCAATCCAATTCCACCTAAATGCATTCCGGACACCTTCTTCTAATTGTATAATATCACTATTTATATCGAGAAATTTCATAGTGAAATTCTCTTGCGTACATAATAAAAAAATATTTCAATAAAACGAAACGAAAAATTTACACGTGCATCAATAAATGAAACGAAAATTTTACACAGCGGAGGAAAAAAAGTTGAGAAGCGATCAATGACAAATAGCTAATACGGCGAAAAATCCCCCTTCTCTACTTTTTTGCGCCACGCCAGGAGAGATAAGACCTTTGAACCCAGAGTCACGTGATCGCACATCTGGTCGAACGAAGTCTCTCCCTTTTTTTTCTGCCGCATCTACTTGCCGAAAAGAATCCAGAAGAGAATGTCCGAGAACCGGGGGAATGAGTCATAACTGGCAATAAGGAAAGAACAAAAAAGAAGTTTTTCCCCCCTTTTCACGCATTATCACTGCCTTTGGAGAAAGAAAGGAAAAGTTTTCACCACACACACTGACCTTGCGTTTTCTGCTTTCAAAGCAAACAAAATTATAGATCAAATAAATAATTCATTATTATTCCTACTTTCTTATAAACGACGATCCCCGGAATTTCCGGGTATCGAAGTTCAAAATCCCCGGAATTCCGGGGTTTCCCCGGAGCACAAACACCCCTGATATAAGTAAACTCGACAAAACGTTTTAGAAAATCCTATTTGAAATTAATTGAAATTTTTGGAAAGAATAAAAATCTTGAAGCAATTATCTCGATAGCTTAAGTTAAAAGTATTACCTGAACTTATGCAAGGTGTCACGTTATGACTGCATGAACTCTGCAGGGCTATATTACTCACTCAAAATATATAAAATGACTGAGTAACTATACGTTAACAACCCTCATTTTGCTGTAAGGTTTATGCGGTCTACACGGGACATGCATCTTAATATAAATTATTTCGAGGAAATTTCAGATAATTAGTATTAACTTAAATTAATTTTTATTATTAAACTTATATTCATTAACTTAATCAGAAACTTATATTAATTAAACATTATGTAAATTTATGAAACTTGATAAAATAAGAATATGAAAAATACCTTTTCACTACAGAAAGTGTAACTTAAAAACACCACCAAACCCTGAAAAAAAAATTAAATAAAATGACATGAATAATTTTATATTATAAGAAAGTGACATAATGCAAATAAATGTACCAAGTATGAACAAATTCTTACATTAGAAATAGTTTTAATAATTTTCACGTTATATTACGAACAAGCATCATTATAAATCTCAGTTTTTAAGTTCATATGAAATTTACCGTGTGTATTGACTAATCTCATTTATCTGACCTCATCATCGGAACAAGTCCACGAAATTTATCGTTGAAAGGAGTATAAAATGACATCTGTCGTTGAAAAGAGCTTTGGGAACCATACAGGTTACAATACGTTCCAGTTCCATCCAGATTTTATAGGACAGAACTTTTCGGGGGGTGCGGCGCAAGGGTCTCCCATCCCTCTTTCCCTACCACCAAATCACATGAAAGGACTTTCGGCTAGCCATATATTTAGAGTGCCACCATGCCGCAAAGACACTGTAGATTCACAAACATTCATGCCTTCTCCGGGGTCCGAACCCGGTCCTTCGATATGGCAGTCAGAGTCATTAACCACAATCCAGTTTTGGAGGCAAAATTTATAAATTTACAGCAGAACTAGTTACTATTATAACCTGTTACGTATATAAAAATATTTGTTATTTCGTTTTTAAAGTGACCGCTGCCATCGCACCAAAGTTGGCAAAGTTTAATCGCCTAAGCAGTAACATGGAAATGTGGCTAAAGATAATAAGGAAATACCAAGTAATTACATTCTTGAAAGAACTAGCAAAAGCAATAAACATTATATTAATTTTACTACATAACAGCAATTACGTTTGGAATTTTTCACAAATTATTAATACGATTTTATTAACTCTTTCGCACCAATATCTGTTCCCCTCTAAAACGCCCATGTATATGGATTTCCTTCCCTTCTGTCGAGTAGAATACTGCAATTTTAACAATATCCTACTTAAGTGCAGTTTTCCCTTAGCACAGGATTGCAAGCATCAATAGCTAAACGTTGAAGCCAAATGAAGGAAAAGGGAGATGATTGGCATGTCATTTAGCAAGTCGCCAATGAGCTACGCTTAACGTGATGAGGGAAAGCACCAGATAGAAAATGGACATAGGTGTTCGGGCGACGTGCCAATGTTTGAATGCACAGGCATTAACGGGCGATTTCGTTGTGAAAGATTTAAGTGAAATATTTCAAATTACAATTTTATTAAAATTACATTTTTGTCGACAGATATAGTAAGCAAACTTTAAATTGATACATACCACAGTGACAGAACTTGTTGCGAAGAAATACTCATAAATCTTCAGTTCAAAATTTACGTATAAAATACTAGCCATCGACATAAGTAAAAGAGTAGTAGTAAGCAAAAGTGAACGATGTAAGAGTTTGATTCTGTATAAAAAAGAAAATATATGTTATATGCATATCGCTTAGTTTATTGCTGTAACATCTCATTCATTTAGTTAGCATTTACTCAATAAATAATGCAAAATAAGTTCTAGAAAATGCTTAATACTTAAAATGTATTAATAGGCTTAACTTATATGTAAGTAAATTCGGTGTTAGGGTGATAAGTTTTAACAGAAAGATCATCTATACTTTTCACTAGCTGTTAAATTTCAACACAGTTTTTAATATTCTGGCCAAGATGATATAATAGGTAAAATTAAGCATTTCGGTGCAGAAAATAAAAACGACGCTAATGTGCGCTTTCCGGGAACTGAACCACGATCTTCATTTGCTAAGTAGATGTGCTAATCTCCTACAGCAGGACAGGACACACAAGGGAATCGACAATTCCTTATACTCTTTCTCACTTAAAGAGCGACTGGAGAGATAATGCCGAGTTATTGCACCACCCATATTTTAATTATGGCGCCCCTGTATATTCCATTATATTTTACGAAGCCAGTCAAAATAATAAACCATTGTGCTTTCGTCAGAATTTGAATCACGGAGTTCCATTTTCCAGCTGGATATGTTAATAACTTACACCACTACAGCACGCAGAGCGAATGTTTTAAGTCCTCACAATATTAGACACTGGAGTTCCAAGAATCAGTGTGTTTCTAGCTCCACCCATTTCCTCTCAAATGACGCCAGCTGAAGAACATTATCCACTGAAGCCTCCAGAGATCAGAGTCATCAACCGGGTGGCTATCTGGCACATGATTGCAACAGGCAAGATCAATTCACCCTCACCCGTTTCCTCAGGTGGGCATCTTAGATCTTTGACATTTTTTGAGGGTTCCAAGTGTTCTTCTAAGCAAGCTTCCCCTGATCATATTCTTGCTTGTCTAGGGCTCTCTAGGCAGGATTTTATTGACAGACAAAGGTTGGTTCTGGATTTCTTTAGGATGCATAATGCCACAGACCTGATTTTTGATTCTTCGGGGATGAACAACAAGAGCAACAGCAGCCTCGGGAATCATTATAGTATATTCTATATTCCTCGTAACTAGCACCCCTTTAAGTATTATCCACTTAGAAATCAACAATTGAAGTTTCTTTCATTTCTTTTCAATTGGCATAAACTGAAATATTATCTACCAAAGCCTTGAAAATTAATGCAGTTGAAGTCACTTCCTCTGAAATGGCACTAGATACAATATTATTAATTAAAACCTTGGAAATCAATGTATCTGACGTTCCTTTTATTTTTTCACAGCTTCATTAGGTTTTTTTTTGCGCTGGAGACGTGAAAATGTGCAACGTTCTTGCCGGGACTCGAACCTGGACCTCTCTAAACAGCGTCGAGTGTGCTACCGTTACACCACGAAGGAATGCAGAAAGAAGATAGATAATACCTTGTATACTTCCCCTTTTAAAGGGCAACTGGGGATTAGGGGATACCACCAAATCCTGGTGGAGAAAAATCATCCACCACCACCTTTTTTAAGTCAGGCGCCACTGTAGAGTTCATTAGTCTATTTTGAAGCAGAAGACATGAAAAATGAGCAATGTATTCTCCAGGACTTGGACCTGGACCTCTCGAAATATACGCCAAGTGTGCTACCCGTTGCATCACGAAGGTATGCAGAAAGGAGGGAAAACCTTATATACTCTCCTTATATACCTTATATACTCTCCATTAAAAGGGCGACTGGGAATTAGGGGACCGAATCGCCAAATCCTGGTGGTGAAGAATCATCATCATCCATCACCTTTTAGTTCGGGCGCCACTGTAGGGACATTAGTGTTTTTCTATGAAGAACATGTGAAAAGTGGGCAATGCCTTCGCCGGGACTCGATCTTTGACCTCTCCAATATGCGCCAAGTGTGCTACCGTTACACCACGAAGACATAAAGAAAGGAGGGAGAAAATACCTTATACTTTGACCCTAGCTGAAATAATATCTATTAAATCTTTAAAAATCAAGTCTCCTCCATTTTCTTTCAATCCAATTTTCTTTTCAGTTTAAGCAAAAGCATTATCTATGGTAGCTTCGGGAAATAAAATGACTTAAATTTTCCCCATTTCCATTCAGCCGGCGTTAGTTGAAGCATTATCCATTGTAGCCTTGGGAATCAATATGTGAATTAATCAATCCTTCCATTTCTTTCCACTGGCATCAGCTGATTTATGGTTTGCTCTGAAAATCAAGATCCTTAAAATGTCTAGGACTGAAATAACACTATGAGGGTATCCAGAAAGAGCTAGGTAACTAACATAAAGTAACTTAAAATAATAAACAGCTAGATAATTAACTTTTACAAACAATGAATGCATTATTTGGAAAGAAAAAAATGCATCTGTTTGTCGTGATTGTATTATCAAGTGTTGAAGAACTAATATTTTAAGGCTAAGAAGCCCCTATATAGATAAACTACTTTTGTAAACTAAAATATATATTCAGTGAAAAACCTAGAAATGTTAAGAATTAAACATAGTTTTTCACATATGAAATAAACACCACATTTACTACATCACATTAATGATAAGGTAATTTAAATATCTTTATACTGAGTCTCATATGAGAGAATGATTACAGTATGATTACCATAAGAAAAAAGATATAATATTTATGTTAGTTTGATTAAATTACATTGAGATGCTTTCATTACAATAACATTTCCTAGTCTTGATTCATTTTCAACATTTTGTTCTCTCGTATTCAACCTGTTATGATCTTTGTTCTTTTTTTCCTGCTCCCAACTTGTTCCAAATCATTATTTACATTTTAAAGGCTTTGAATGATCTATCTAATCTAAATCATGACCTAGGTTAGTTTTAATAAATTTGCATTTTATTTATTTCTGATTATTATGTTAAGAAGCATGTAAATATAAACCATATAAAACATAAAACGATTTTTTTGTAAAGTAATTTGAGGTTAAATGTCTTATTAAAATGGTTTATAGCTGAAATGTACAAAATGTTTTAATATTATTCGAAAATGAATAAATGAAAATTTTTAAGCAAGTTAATTCATTTAAGAAGCAATTAACAGTACGAAACAGCTTATTGTAACTATTATCACCTTTTTAACCTATTTCATTTTCTTATAGTTAAAACTTAACAGTTTTTTGCTTGTTGTTGTTAATAATCCCGGATTATCCAGCAAAGCTAGACAATCTCCATAAATCCAAAAATATCTAAAACGTTTAAAAGCAATAGAGGATCCCGAAGGACCTCATTTTTATTAAAATAGGACCAAGCTAAAATATGGGACGGGATGACCATGTCAACCTTACACCAACGGCACTCAAGGAAGATCTTCTGTCCCTGCTGAAATGTGAGTGATCTAATATGGCCACTCATGAAGCGCTAAAAGACCGTGTGATATTTTCTAGGCGATAGTTGGAAAAAAACTCGGCCGGGTTTCATCCAAATTACCACAGATCATTACGAGGAATCCTTCCAAATTGGTTTAATTCCATCCTCCTAAAAGAGAAGATTTCGCTATATGTGAGAGCCCCACAAGAGCCCTCCTCCTCCACGGCAGCAGTCCAGGACGCCTATTCTATGATCACTGGATCTGTCTACAACTTAAGCGAACAATATTGACTCAAAGAAACCGGTATGGACAGCTATCAACAACTTATCGGAGAAAGCCATTCTGTGGTCCTCAGTTGGTGGGCGGGTGGGTCCATTTAACTTTACTGAAAGGGGACAAGGCTTCAAGGAGCTTTAGACCAATCGCAGTACAGACGAGTGACGAAATTTATAGCGGGCGCTGGCTGAAGTTCTAGGAATATTCTCCCATATTTCACTAACTCACACGCTGCATTTGTAGTTCGAAAAAAATTGCACAAAACAGTTATGACCAACACACAGCGGAATATGCTGCTGTGTATGTGAAGGAAAATTCCGTTTTTTAAGGGAAAACTTAACTCAGGAATTAGAGCTAAGAAATAAAGAGTGATATGGGGATACCACGAAAGCAATGGTAAATAGATAAAGTAAATGAATTAAGCTTCTTCAAATCCTTTAAAAATAAACAATTTTAATCATTTAAATTTATAATATGATTAATTTGCATTACAATCTAATAGCAAAGTAAGTTTTTTCTTTCTTTCTTTCTTTCTTTCTTTTTTTTTTTTTTTTTTTTTTTCCATGTTACATTAAAATTGTTTTCTCGCAATTTATTTTACAGTTACTATTGGAAAAAATATTCTTTACATAATAAATTAGAAAGAAAATATTTCTTCTTAATATTTCTTCCCTTTTTTTTTATTTTCTTTTACTATGAAAATTATTTCTTTCAGGAAAAGAAATAAAATTCATTCGCTATTCAGTATGGCCGATGCTGCTGCATTCAACTATCACACACGCATCAAAATGCTTTATTTTAAAAATTTATTCTATAATTAACATGAAAGAAAATATTTTTTCAATATAAAATATATAACCAAAATTAAACTAATCTATCCTGTAGGTGTGATTAATTCGTTTTGCAATTTTGTCACACAATTACTAACACCTTTTTTTAATATTACATTGCTGTACTTGAATTTTTTATATATATAGAACTGCTCCGTTTAAATATTCTTCCTTCTCAAAAGATTTTATTTGTGAAAATAATTAAAAGATAGTAATATTTTCACAATGTAAGTACTAAAGTAAAAATAATCAGTGTAGGTCTCTTGCAGTTGAAGTCCTTGTCAAGCCAGCGTTTCGACACATTTTAAACAGAAAACTAATAATAATCAATATCTCTTTTACAATATAAAAATGAGAATGCTATGAACAGTATTTTTTTTGTTTTGTTTTCTTTGTTAAATTTGCAAAGAAACAATGATTTTTTAATACTATAATAGGTCACAAAAGTTCTATTCCATGAACAAACCCTCAGTCTTATAGCATTGTTACTTTATACATAATAAATGCAGTATAATTCCTAACAAGCCCATCAGCTGCCGAGCGGTAGAGTCGCTGAACACAGGTAGTTTGGTCCGAGGTTTGAATCTCGGGAACGAGCTAGCCGGCGTTTTTGTGGCTTTTCACATGTGTAACTTGTATACGAGCCAGTTTCCCTTAGAAAGTCCTCACTTAGAAACCAGTTTTAAAACGTAATAAAATTACACACAAAATAATAATAATAATAAATAAATAAATAAATAAATCTGAAAGCTTCAGATTTTATATTACTTCCAAAGGGCCATTATTTAACGTTTTGCGTGTATCTTTATTTATTAAATATCATGTTTTTCGCACTTAGACCATAAAATTCCAATTCAACAGCAATATCATATATTTAAAAAAAGCATATTAGAATTTCCGATACCTAATCTCCCGCGCTAGAGATGAAAATGTTTTTTTTCTGTACAATGTTGCCATTGCTCGCTTTGAAATCGTTGGGTTTCTTAATCAAAAACTCATAACCGCTTTACAAAATATGAAATAGATAATAAAACAAATTCTCAGTTCCAAATTGGGGCCTCCAGATGCCTATATTAGGATGGAGGATTACGTTATTCAGAATTTCATGGCTCTAGGTAGCGTTGTTTATCACTGTGCGAGAAACATTACATTCTGCAGATTCCTCATTATTTAATTTCTTTAAATATATAGAGTGCGATAATACTTGGTGGCAACGATTTGAAAAGTGAAACGCCACAAATGGCAAAACGAAATTAATAGCCCCTTGAGCTAAAACTTATTTTTAAAAGTATCACATAGTAGTAGTACAGCTACTGAAAAAGATGTTATAAAGCTGTTTTATAGTTTTAATTTTTTTTTTAAATTTTTATTTTACAGTAGTGTGAATTTCGCGTAATAATGAACGACATTCCTTTTGTGTTCACAGTATTATTGGTAAGGTGTTCAACTGTTAGATTTAAAGTAAACGTAATCTTGCTGTACATAAATCGAGTAGAAGCTTATCGGATGTCTATATTTGTGTTAAATAAAGGAAGTTTATGTGCTTGATAAACTTATTAGTCTACATTTTAAAGCATACAATTACAATTTATATCTATAATTTCTGGAATAGTATAACTTTCTTTCAGTAGAAATGCGTTCTTGTTTTCTGAATGTGGCTCCAAATACTCTCTCAGTTCATCGCAAATTAAAATAACTATAATTTTGGCAATCTGAATACGCAATGAAAACATCTTTTGGCAGAGCAAAAGCATCAGTATATTTTCTATAAATTCGCCACCGATTCAGAGATCTACGACCGTATTCTTCGTTTAAATATGAAAAAATCAGCAGCGAAAAAACATACAAAGCCATTGTCTACTTAGTACGTCAACTGCACACCCTGATTGACGACGCGCAACACTTTTTCACGCGCTTCGACAACTTCCGTACTCAGAGAACATAGGATGTCGGGCAGACCTGTTTTTTACTAGCAGCGACATCTGGCGGCCCACAACTTGCTGTCGACTCTCGTAGCGGAGAATAACGCCAGGCCCAGTCGGCCTTTTCATTTCCGTCCAACCCAACATGAGCTGAGATTTACTCAAAATGGATAGAGTGTACAAAGAAAGGCGAACGAGAAGATCTATGATATTCAAGCTGGTCTTGTCTGTTATCCCTGTCCAATTAGATAGGTGCTGATTGAAGCAAGACTATCAGTTAGAATCCAGGCATTATGTAATTGCTTCACAATTTGGTACGCGTATTGTGGGATCTCATTGATAGTCTCCAGGGCTAATTGCTTGACGACAGCCAGATATTTCAATATTTTTCTTCACTCTAGTCAAAACGGTCTCATTAAAATGAATCTAACCAAGTTTCAAACCAGCTCCCAGATGACACAAAGAATGAGGTTCTATATTTGCAGAGTAAGTCCCAGCATGTTAGTAAATGAAAAGGGGGCTGAGCTTCTTCAAGCGTTGATTGTCTGTCCAAATATGAAGGTAGGCTAAGATTCTATGTTTATCATTGTAAATGGAGAGCTTGTTACAGTATTTTGACAGAAGATAACTTCTTCTCAATGAAAGAGGAGGCAAGAGGAAAAAAATTTAAAGTAAGTAGCATACAATATTTTACAACTTTATGCAATTTTTTGTATGAAGAAGAAAAATTAAACATTTTGTTTCAAATCATATTGTTGCCTTTTTGGATAAAAATGCAATGCACAATTAGAACACAGAAATTTTGTATGTAATCGAATTTAAAGGAAGTAATTGCTTTAAAATTCAAATAATGCAAATGCACAAACTGAATGAAAACTTAAATAACAATATAAACTTGAAGCTATACCATACCTATTATTGCTAACTCGAACTTTCTTATTTTGAAGGAAGTCAGCCACTTTACCATGGTTTCTAATTTCCGTTTTCACAATCAGGAACAACAGTATTTGGAACTAGAAAAAAATAATAACATCATAATCAAAAAATGATGCACAACGGAATAATCTTTTAATCATCCAAAAACAGGTTTTTACATCTTTGCGCATGTACATACATATAATATATATATATACATAGTCTTATTAATAGTCTTTTAATTCCTCACTTTTTATTTGGGGGTATTTCCTCTCTCTATTCTTAAAGTAGTAATAAATTTTCTCAGCTGCATCATTTCTAGATTAATCTATGTCACTTCGCTTACGTAACGCTAATGACGTAGCTAATTCGGAACTTGAATTCAAAATTTTTTGGACAAAACCTTTGTAACCTAAACCAAAACTTCCTCTTGATGAGCTTACATCTTGGATAATTGCGCACTTCTGATTCTACCTCTGTTGCTGCTTGAACGCTATTTCATTGTGCTATCACAGTAATGTCAAAAATCTCAATGTTCTGGAAATGGGCACGATTAGAGTGCCAAGTGAACTGTCGCTATCATCCGCAATCTCATCGTCAGCTTGGTGATATCTAGTCCAATTATGCGAGATAGCCATTTACTCAGTGTTAAATGGACTTGGCTCTGTATTCTTATTTTTCCGGCACAGCATCGTACCTCTCTTTCTAAATTAAATTGCTTAAAAATGCATATAAATTGTTTATGTATTTTCTGTTTATTAGACTGTAGATTATTATTCTTTCCTGTGCAATTTTTAACTGTTTTCTGGTTAACTGTGATTTTAAATTAAATGTGGACATCGTCCTCCGTATTAATTCAGAACCTACTGTAGTTAAAATTTTAAAGAGAGTTAAACAATTTCTAAAAGTCTATGCTTCTTAACAAAGAATTTCTCTACATTGTGCATTACAAAATGAATCAATAGAGAAAATTAAATTTTTTATTTAAATTTTAAATACGTTTTCAACTTTACTATCATACAGTTTAAAAACATTTAATTAAAATTGGCAATTTAACGAAAAACAGTTGAGATTTTTGGATAAAATCAGAACTGATACATACCATAGTGAGAAGCAGTATTGAAGACGTATAGGCATAAAAAAAATTAGAACCAAGAGTTAACCACCATCTGAAAAATAAAAATTATTAATGCACATTTTAATAATTAGAAAAGATTAATTTTAATAATTAGAGTAAATTTTAATAATTAGACCACAAGTGATATAATTCCACCAGAGACAGTTTTTTTGAGAAAAAGGTGTGTTCATTAAAAATATAGAGAAATATATCAAAAATACAATAAATTATTGACTTTGCAATCTGAAAACATTAAATCTTACAGAAAAAATATCTATCATGAAATGATTACATGTATGGTAACTATCTTACCGCATCTGGGCATTTCGCAAAAATATATTTTCTGTTCATATTACAGAAAATATATTGTTGCGAAATGCCCAGATGCAGTAAGATAGTTTCCCGGCAAAGCGAGTTTAGGGTTGCGAGAAAATGGCAAGGAAAGGCAGGGTTGCCTGATTTGGCGAAAAAAATTGGCGATATGTCATAGACCAAGCGAGAACAATCTAGAGCGAATTCTTACTGGTTTTTCCGAGGATGTTCTCGAAGGCAGCTCAAAAGCAATAAGTACTCTGCCTGTACGCGGAATTGCAGTTTATCGTGAAGAATATCTTGAGTGTCTTGAGTTCAGAGATTAGCTCGAGAGCGATCGATTGAGTCGGTAGCTGTACTTTAGTGCTTTGCCGTGAAGCTGTCATCACCGTTATAGCCCGATAGCCTGAAGGTTGTGTTCCTGGTTATTTCAGCGTGTTTATCGTAGTTTTTCGACGGCTGTAAACGCATCTTAACTCTTCTGTGTAATACTGACGAATAAACTGTGTTTTTGATTCTTCAAGTGTTGTCAATCAGTCACTCCAAATCCACGAACCCGTGGAATGAAACAATATAAAAATATTGAAAAAGAAATACGGAGTTACTTTGCTTGTGCACTAAGCATATATATCAAATTTGTATACTCGTAGTCCAGGGCTTGAAGAGAATAGACAGAAAACGTGTTCAGTTTCGTCTTTAGATTTCCAATATTGTAAATGTTCTGAGATACTAATAAAAGTAAAACAAGCTGCCAAAGTTTTAAAGCAGGCTTGATACAAAGTGATATTTTTAAGAGTATCCAACATGTTTTGTTCCTTGACCAATGCCATATTATGTCTCGTTTTCTTTTAAACTAATGGTCTCAAACTGGCGGCCGGTGGCCCTCAATCGGTCTCCGAAGTAATTTAAAGTATGTATTTGTTGCAAATATTTCAAGATAATATTTATTTGAAGTTCGAGTTTATATTATTTTTTATTTCCATTAAAAAGGGATGTGAAAAACGAGCCAAAAATTCGATAAATGTAGTAATTAATTTACAGTGTGATATAAATATCCTTCAGAGATTTGAAAATACAGATTTTATCAATTTTATTTGTACTTGTGAAAAAATAAATAAGCTCAGTTACGAATATTTGTACGAAGAATAATTTCTTCATCTGGAAATATATTAATACGTGAACAGCGTTTCCTTTGAAAGTAAAAATAAGAAAAAAAAAAAAAAAACCCGATTGTCCGATGAGCACTTACAATCCGTGATGAAGATAATTTCTGGTAAGTTCTCTGCAAGGTTACAAAATTTATCAGAATCTAAATACCATCAAGTGTCAAGTTACAGTAAGAAATAAAGAAGTTTATCATTATATACATATAAAGATATGTTGTAATAAGTTCTGTTACACTTACAGAGCATTAATTACAGAGGTAAGTGATAATCCGCTTCGTTATTAATACACACACGTTTTATTTACAATATAATACAATGGTTGCAAGCATTATTATTAGGCACACGCCTTCATCATTATTAGGCTTAACACCTATCTTCCATCAAACTAAAGTTAAGTTACAGAATATCAACATAGACAAGACGTTCGGAGCGCCACCTAACGGCACAAACTATCATTTTATAACATATGTATTTTTATTTTTTGCTGCGGAGAAAAAATTTAATAAATAAGAGAAAGAAATTAGGTTGTTGTTATTTGTTCTCAAATTTTGTCCCACTTGTAAACGCTTCTCTAAAAACTTAGAAAGTTTCTATAATTAGTTTACTTTTATTTTAAAATAAAGTAAATATCTTATGATTAATGAAACATGTTAGACATATTGAACATTTTTATGAATTTTAAATGAGCAAAATTTACGTTTGAGAAATTATAATCTTCTTACCCTTCTAGTATGTAGCCTTCTAAGCTTTGGGCGGCCAATGTTGCACCAACGATTATCACAGGAATAGCTACAAAAATTTATATATTTATTCATACTATATCAAAAATTCACGCATACGTAAAAATAATATATCTATGATTTTAAATAAAATATAAAAGAAAAGGGCACTCTTGTTTGAGAATTAAATATTTTTTAAGTAATTTTTAAATGGTAGTTAGAAAATATATGAGCTGTATGAATAAATGAAATACTGAAATTATAAAGCTGGGAGCTTTCGTATTAATTTTTAAAAATAAGGCATAAAACAAATTTACAAGTCATGCTAACACTTGCTTAGCTTATAAACTGGGCTCTATACAAGTTGATACAAGCTTTATATAAAAATTATACACGATATGGTATAAAGCTTGTATGACAATATTTGATACAAGCTTGATACAAAACGAAGGCTTTATATGAGGCAAATATTGACATAGGATCAATATTTAGATCTTATGAATTTAAAGTACTTAATATAAAACAGTTGGAAAAGTGCAGAAATAAATTCTTATATAACAGTAAAAAATTGAAACAGAAAAAGCTGTATAAACTGTGAAATATTAAGGAGACGATTAGTTTAATTTTTAAAATCGCTTCAGCGAAATATAGAATTATACTTCATTAGAATATAAACTGAGTATATTTCTTAGCTATAAAATGGAAATATATATACTGCGTTTACAGAGGTGTAGGACTAAGTTTGTACAAACTCGATAGTTGAAGAAAACAACCTTCTTTCTTTCTTCTTAGACTTCACATAAGTGTACAAAAGTTGTTACCCGGGCTTTATTTTCGCAGCTGTTGTTCGCTTATATACAGGAAGTGGGTTATAATTAAAGTTACACTTTTTAGACCTACATAGAGGCTGTTCTGCTATGCCAGTTTCATTGAAATTTGATATGTACGCTATGTGGATCATAGGGAAAGGGAAACTGCAATAAAAAGTAATAGCTCAAATTTCGACAATCCGATGAGAAGGGTCGCACGATGAATAAAAAACAATTCTATTTAATCGCTACATTTTTTCAATGTGCATTCTATTTGCATCATTTATTCAAAGCACGCTATAGCGTATTCAAAAGTAGCGAGAAGGTTTCTCGATAGTTGCAGCAACACGACATGTTATGCTTGCGTTAAAGTCAGGCATAGTCCGTATGCTTCCTCTATAGACACGATCTTCCAGGAATCGCGACAACCAGAAGTCACGAGGATTCATGTCAGGAGAACAAGGAAACCAGTCAGTTCAGACTTCTCGAAATTACCGATTATCTCCCAAATGGACTAGAAACAGTGCTTCACTGGACCCGTGGAGCAGAAATGGTGTATCATTTCGCATTAAGACAGTAGTGTCTAATCAGTTTCGTTCTTGTAAGGCAGGAATGACTTGTTGTTGAAGAAGTTTACAGTAACGGGAATCGTGAGAGAACACTTTTGGTGGGGGGGGGCTTAAGGATCGTTCTCTTCAAAGAAAAAGGGAGCAAGAATGAAATCCACAGTGAAACCACACCACGCAGTAATGTAATCAGGATGTACAGACCATTCATGCACAACATTAGGACGTGCAGACTGTCTTTGAGTATTAAAGATTAGTTGAAGACCGTCTTTGAGTATTAAAGAAAGGTGATGATCCGTCTAGGGTAAAATGCTGTTCGTCCGACCACAAAATGTTCCAGTCACTGCAACAGTTATTCTGGCTGAAAGAAGGCTAGCGATATGGATGCGTTTGTCTGTGTCTGCAGGTTGCAGCTCTTGCAGAATTTGAATCTTGTATCAATAGTTACAGAATATGAGTCTTGTATCAATAGCTTAGAATTTGAATCTTGTACCAATGGATCGCCGGATTGTTCGTACTGTCGAACAAGGGACAGAAAAAATATATGACATCGCTCGAGCACTTGTCGAAGAATATTGGGATGTAAACTGAAATAAAATGCTGTCGATCACAGCAAGAGCGACTTCTTTCACCGTTTTATTTGAAATACTTTTCCGTCTTCATTTTCGCAGTACACATAACTTCCCATCATGTTCAAATTTAATAATAATCTTTTTCACACCCTGCCACGATGAACGGCGTTTTCGTAAGCCTCCCAGTGCAGTTGTAAAATTACTGCCGTTTTGATAAAACAAATTGATCAGTAAAAGCTAGATCTTTCTTCTCTAAAGGCGTAGTGATGAATGATTTTACGCTATTGACTACTGGCATTTTGAAACGCTCCAAATTTGCATAACACCCTTTCTACATAGCATGAAAAGAGCCATCTTTTGGTCGAAATTTGAACTATTAATGTTTATTGTAGATTTGGTTTGCCCGTGTTCGTATAACATTATAGGGTATTTATCCCGCCTTCTTAGCATAGCTTCGTGGTGTAATGGTCAGCAAACTCGGCACGTATTCGAGAGGTTCGAGGTTCGAGTCCGAAGACACTGCATATTTTTCACGTCTCCTGCTTCAAAATAAACTAATGTCCCTACAGTGGCACCCGAACTAAAAAAGGTGGTGGATGATGATTCTCCCCCACCAGGATTTGGCGGTTCGGTCCCTTAATTCTCAGTCGCCATTTAAAAGGAAAAGTATATAGGGTACCGGAAGTGGGCGCAGCACGATCCACCTAGCCAAACAAGTTGGTCTTATGGTCATAATAGGTATTTTCTCCCTCCTTTCTGCATGGCTTCGAGGCGTTATTGTTAGCACAGCGTGTATTCGAGAGGTCCGAGGTTCGAGTCCCGACGAGGGCACTGCATATTTTTCACGTCTCCTGGTTCAAAATAACCTAATGGTTCTACAACGTATATGCCCAAATTTCAGTGAAATAGGTCTACCAGAATGGATTCAACGTAAGTCTTTAAATTAGGTAACTTTAACTACAATCACCGTGTATTTTCAATTACAAACATGTTTTAAAAGCATGAAAGATTCATGTTTCGTTGTTTTTAAATTTAAAGAAATCAGTTTTGTAAAAATTACGAGATCTAACGTTTTACATGTTCTTCCGGTCCCTATACTTATATTGAGGAAAATTTTGGAATAAAAAATGTAACACAAAACGCTTGAGTTCCGCACGGCAAAATTTAACTGAGATATTTCATATTAAAATGTAGACCCATATTCAGGGTTCATACATAAACTCAACAGCGAAATATTTGCATTTAAGCATAACAAAAATAAAATATAGTTTAGAAAATGGTTTCCGATGTTAAGAGATTACTTGACGAGTGCTGACTATAATGAAAAATATTATTCGATACAACGTTTTTCAAAATGGACATTTTATTCACATAATTTCAGAGAATTCCTCTTCTAGAAAATACTTCAGTAGGCTTCAGTATTGGCAAGCAATCAAATCGTAATATTATTTGCTTTAATTAGGAAACGAAAAGATATTTGTAGTTTAATGAATTTTTTGCACCTTTACCAGTTTATGTTCTGAAGTAATAGAACTTCGTGAGAATATTAATAACATATTTTTAGACTTTTAGAAAACTCATAAATCACGCTAGTAAATCACAGAAGAATATTAGTAAATGGCATTTAAGGGAAAAACAACAACCTCGAATTATCTAAATTTAATTTACTAACCGTTGCCTCATTGCAAATTCGAAATTTCGTCAAATATCGCAAATTTTAAAATTAAATGTACAAAAGTTTCATAACTGCAGCGAGGAGAAGGGCATATAAAAATAGATTTCGATTTCGTATTTTATATAAAATTAAGCGTTTTTAAAATTGAGAATTACGAAGCACAAATCTTTGCATCATTTAAAACAATTTTGTAATTGGAAGTCTACATCTACGAACAACTATTACAAAAATAAAGTTCAGGTAAGGACTTCCGTGGACAAGATTTATATCCTTGAACAACGCCGGACAAGCTCATACAGCTGTTTGATTCCTTCATAAAACTTGTGACCAATCAGTGGCGAAGCTTGTCGCTGAACACTGGTAGTTCAGTCCGAAGTTCGAATAGTTTGTGGGAGCAAAATTTGTTAAATAAAACGAGTGGAGGGAGGAAAATTGTGACATATTTCTTTGCTAGAAACTGCTGGATGAGAAAGGACTGTGTGAAGATGCTTTGTCGTGGAACAGATACCGTATTTTATCGCTTATTTTTCTACTTCGTGTGTTTTTTCCTCTAGCATTTCAGGGCCAGATTCTGAAAATTTTAAAACCATTCGTTTAATTTCCCCACTTTTTCAATGCGTTCAGAGAATTAGATCGCATTAATTTTAAATTGGATTTTCCATGCAATGATTGTTTTCGTCTTACTAGCAAAGACAAGCCCTCACAAGCTAAATTGCGAAGGTCACGCGGAACCTTTCACTTCTAACTGCTGAACTTTATATTGCCCTAATTAAAGAACTGACGCATTACAGCGAAGCAAGCACGAACTAATATTCAGTATACGATTTCACTGAATCAACTGAATACGTTCACCTTCTTTAATTATTTATTGATGATTTGGGATTTAAGGATTAGCAGAGACAACAATAAGAATGAGGGATATTAAAAGTCGAAGGAAGTAGAAGTGAAGCTGTCTAAATAAATATTGTAATGTTAATAGTAATATGCATTCTTATTACAATGTAAATTTCTTTTATAGAAATGATATTGTGATATTTCTTTAAAGTTTATCATGACCATTGCTCTTATTGTACCGCATCATTTGGAAATTAAATCATTCACATAATTTTTCCCTATCAACTTTCGGACGTTAAATTTAATAAAGAGAGTGTTCATTACGTCTTCAGGAAACATAAGTTCACGGCCTGTTCTCCCAAACAAATTCCTTCGAAACAATATCCTTTCCGACCAAAAAAAAAAAAATTACTTATAAGGTAGTTACACGAGATTTTTGAAAGCTGTGGACATGGAAAAACTTCTGGAACTTAAGTAGATGGTTGCCATATTGTCTCATGATCATAAGCAAAGCATTAATTTGTATTTCCAATCAAAATTTGTTTCAAATATTTTCCTGTTTTTCTCCTTTGCAGCAAAGTTTTATCCCTACACTTTATTAAAATGTAGAAAATGGGACAGAAGATATTCACTTTTTAAAGAACTTGGTTTGATTGCATACAAAATTCTGTCCTTAAGCAGATGATATTTTAAGGAAAACAAGTTGAGATGTCATAGTAAAGACGATACAGTTAAGTCATATGGAAGCTATATATGCCTATGGTTTACACAGTTTAATTTAAACATATCAGTTGCCATGAATAGCAAAGCGTAGCTAAAAAATTCAAAAGTGCATGAAAAAGAATTTAAAACTATAACACAACCAAATACACAATGAATGATTTAATATTTTAAGTGAAGCAATAAAGAATTAACTTACCCCATCCTAGAGCAGCAATTTTTACGAATGAATATTGGACATTCTTAAGTTCAACAGTTTCAATATAAACAGCCAATGCTAGGCATAGTTGTAAAGAAAAAGCAGTCAGTAGAAAAAATTGAATCAAGGACACTGTGTAAGAAAAAAATTCCTGAAAAAATATTAAAAAATTAGTAAAGAAACGAGAAAATTAAAAAAAAAAAAAAAAAAAAAAAAAAAATTACGCTCAAAAGGTTAAAAGAGAATTTTTTAACGTTTTGTGTGTTACCTTAAATTTATTAAAAATCATGGTCTTCGCACTTAAACTACATAATATTCAATTCAACAGCAATATCACAAAATATTTAAAAACAACACATCTTTAAAATTTTCGATATACAATCTCGCGCGTTAGGGATAAAAATGTTTTTTTTTCCGTGCAATGTTGCCATTGCTCGCTTTGAAATCGTTCTATTAATCCAAAATGCGTTAAGTGTTACAAAATATGAAATAGATAATAAGACAAATGCGAAATTCGGGTTTCCCGGTGCCAATTTTTTGGTGTAGGATTATGTTATTCAAAATTTAATGGCCGACCATCGTCGTTCCTTCACATTGCGAGAAACATACATACATTCATGTACATGCTTCATTATTTAATTTCTTTAAATTTAATACTGGGCGTCAATATTGGCTGGCAAAAATTTAAAAAGTGATTCACCATTTATAGTGAACCGTCACAAAATGCCATTTTGACACTAATAGAACCTTTGGCTATATTGACTTCGAGGACACAGGCTCTTTTTCTCCACAAATATTTTGTAAAAACAGGAAGGATGACTATCATTTTACATCGAAAGCTAGGGCGGAACAAAGGTAAATTAACGTAACGCTATCTAGTGAGGAAGTTCTAATATCCAACTTTAATTTTTTGAAATTTTATACTACGTCTTATCAGAGTGGTCTAGCATATATAAGCCAGCCTGAAAGAGGGTTGAAATTTAAAGCCAAGGCACACAAACCTTAGGCAGAAAAGACGAAATAAACATTTCTTCGGTAGCTAATCATTAATTGGGCATTAAATCCCGAATTTGACTTTTCCTTTTGCGGAAATTATCCTTGCAGTTTCCTAAGTTACTAAATGGATTTTAAGAAGCTTTCCTTTTTATAAAAAATTATCTTATTATGTTAATGACAGTGATTCAAGTCCAGTTCTTAACGCTTTTAGAAATTTAATATTTTCGTTTTTCACATTTCATGTCTACTTTCATCGACAGATGGAGCTACATTCGTTTAAGTTTTGCCCGCCCACTGCTTAAAATAAGTGTAACTTCTCCCAATTTTGCAAACACTTTTTTTCTTTGCGTCGGTGAAGAGGAACCTGGGTGTGATCGCCCAGGAAACAAATAGAGTTTTATTCAAAATTTGCGAAATACTAAGGTTGTGTTTTCATAGTTTTTAAATCTTCAAATTGCTATATTATGATTTTACATATAATTACATGTAGTTCTTTGAGAATTTGGAGATGACAAAACGTTTAGCTACTAGTTGCCAGCGTTTTAAATATATCATAATTATTGATGAAAAATAAGTGATGATATATCTTACCTCAGAAAATGGTTTGACTAAACCACAGAAAAATACTCCAAAAGCTCCTAGTAAGGCAATACATACTTGTATTTTTAGAGCGATTACGGCTCCTCGGACTTTCCTGTAAAAAAAAAAGTGCTTTAAAAACTGAAATATACGTGATTTATAAATAAAAAATCTATACACTGTTTACAATATAATTTAACTAGAACAGTATAATTATAGTATAACTACTATGTTAAATTTAATAAATTCATTGTGTGTAAGAGATATTACTAAAAGCACCAAGCACTACCATTAAAATTCACTGTTTAGCATCTAAAGGAGTTATGTACTGCTTCAAAATCTTAAAAGGCGTTCCTACACTAATATTTCGAAGGACAATGTTTGTTTCATTGTTAATAGCTTTATTTAAAGATATAAAATTCTGCTAGCATGTCTCGTATTTTGAACAGAAAGGTTGAATATTCATAAACAAATTCGAACAAAAGCTGAAGCAAAAAGCTACCTGAATTATGCTTACCTCACCTAAATCTTATTTATTATGCCTGTTAAACATTACTTCAGAAAAACATGTTATACAGAGTAGACAAAATTAATATATATACATATTGTTTACAGAAGGTACGAAATTATATCTTATTTATCTATTGAACATATAGACATCTTTCGGCCTTTTCGTGTGGCAGCTGCTATCTTGTGCCAATTTTTATCTAGTATCAGCTCTGGCTTTCCTTTGAAAACAAAACTATTTAACACAAAATACTATAAGTATAGGAATTTAAATATCGGAAATTATTGTGAGTCCATTCGGACATTCGAAAATTCCCGATAATTTCTTTTCCGGAATACTGGTCGAAATAACTGATGTTTTATTTCAGCAAAGATTATGAAATACATCTTCACATATTTCACTTTGTAATAAAGGCAAATTTGATGCTAAATAACAATTAGCACAAAACGACACAACGGTTGCTGCATTTTTTTTGTATACCTGTAAAGGTTGGTTCTCTGCATCATTACATACATCGCAAAGTAAACAACATTCAGGCGAGTTTCGTTAATATCATCTTTTTGGTTCAGCACTGTTTGGAATTTTTTTCCCATCTTCCTTATATAAAACCAAAATAAGGCAGAAGAAATTTGAGAATTTTAAAGTAAAAATGACGCTGATAAGAATAAAATTTAAGTCTTTTATTTTCAAAATAAAACATTTTTCTTTAGGTTGCACATAAACTAAATAAAGAAGAGTTTTGCGCTTATACTCAAAAGAAGAAATGATATTTTAACTTCCATAATAAAATATCTGATACAAAAAAAAAAAAAAAACAGGATGTACATTAAAGTTCTAATAGAAAGTTTTTTAACAGTCATTTTTCAACGAATATTTTAGTTTTTGATTATTATTAGTTACGTTGCTATTGTAATATATTTTATAATTAATAAGAAAAGTTTCTAGTGTAAATAGTTGTTTAAAAAGCAAACGAATTGTATGAAAATTTTCTTACATGAGGGTATGATCTTAAATATTGTCCGTTTTTCCGTAACTTTGCTTTAGTCTATTTTAATAAAATAACGATTTGTAATGGTTATGCAATGAATCACGGAGTAAACAGAGAAAGCTAGTGCTATTTACGATGCATAATTATTTTACTATTAATATTTATAGGCTATGTAAATGTTTAAAGTTATAAGCTTACCTACCTAAGCCTTCGTCTGAATTAATAGCTTCTTAAAAATAAATAATGCAATGTCTTATTTTTTAAAAATAATTTAAATCAATCAAAAAACCTAAAACATTTAAATTAAGCTTAATTTTATTTGCACTGTAAAGAAAAACTGAGATTCGGGATGTTAGATGTCTAGATTACAGATGGTCTAATTAATACTGGTTAATTTCAAAATATGAAATCTGATATAAGAATTTGTATACACACTGTATATCATAAAATGAAACGTAATCGCATAAGAATCGAACAGAAAAATAGGTTATTTAAATTTGATAACAACTTTTCCATTGTAATAAAACAAAATAAGAAGAAACCAAAAATTAAGCAATTTAAGATGAAAAATGCATAATTTTTCCGAATTCAACTAGGCATAAGTAAAATAAATGCAGAGTAACAACTAACCAGGCAGTTAAAAATAGAAAAGATAAACTTATTAATTTATTTAAACAACAGCTTATTTTATTCAAATAATAATAATAAAAATAAATTAAACTAATTTGAGAACTACAGTTAAAACTTTTTTAATATCTTTTCCTTATGTATTAAATTTGTGATCTCTGTTTATTGATTATTTTTCTGGATGCCATTCTATGCTGCACGCATCTTATAATAAAATTTTGGAAACATTTAAAATTTTTTCCCTGGCATTTCTGTACGCTTTTTGTATAACTCTTGAACAATCACTTCACATCAGTAGTAAAATTTGACTGAAATATAATGTATGCGATATCATCAAAATGTACTGAATGCTACTGTAACTACTAAATAGTTCCAAAGTAAATGTTTCATTAGAAATATAAAAAAGTAGAAACTTTCCAAATCAAATTCGTCCTATTGTTTTTAAGCTCAGGCCATTGTTTACAGAAATAAATGTTATCGAGAAACTTTCCTCATCATTTCCTATATAATTCTTCCAGCTTATTTAAAACGATTATTAAAGCATAGAAAACAAACTCTGAAAATTTTACTGTATTTTAAATGGAATACTATAGCTCAATAAAATCCTTTTATTTAACTATATTCGTAAAGCATAATTGATAAAAATCAGGATTCATATAGATTCTTTAGGGTAATTTAAATAATGTATGTTCATATTCTGTTATATTGAGTAGTAATTATGAAACTTTCCATGAGAAGTTTTTGTTTTATAAATAAAGACTTCTTTGTTTCTAAATCCAAAGTCTAATTTACCAAGCAGAAAATTCTGACATTTAATCCTGAGAATGATGGCGTTTTTGCAGAATTTAGATTCATGCAGAAAAAGCAGTTTTTCAGGCAGTTTCCGACTGCAAGGCAAATACAAGGGAAGATGTCATCGACTAACTCACAGTTATTCCGATAGCAGTTAAAAACGTAACAGGAAAGAGAGAGATAAACCACATTATAACTAACAGAAAAATACTATTAATTTAAAAAAATATTTTAAAGCAGTTAAATCTGAGGAATAAGGTTCTTTGTTTATGTAAATTAATTCAGTATTCGACATAAAAAGAGCATACTATAAGTGACGAAAGAATTAACATCATTGGCATTTAGGAATAATATTTATAAAAGAACTTCAGTAATATTATTTAGCTCAAATCGGCGTAAAATACTTTCAGCCATTTTGTTTTAATTTATAATATTTATATGTTACGTATTATGTACAATAAATTACTTATTCTTTTGAATAAAATGAACCTCCCCAATAATATGACATCTTCAAATATCACTGTAGTTATACCATGCACTCTTCTTTAGAGTTTTGTATTTTTACGGAGAAAGTTTTGTTTTACTCTGCGGGTTTGTCATAGAAACTTTCATATTATTTTGGATAGAATGTTTCGAAAAAAAATGTCTTGAGGGAAAAAAATTCTTTAAGGTAAACTGTTTCGGATGAAAGCGTTTCAGATAAAAATTCTTTAAAATAAGCTGTTTCGGATAAAAATTATCTAGAGTGAAAATTCTTTAAAATAAACTTTATTGGATATTGTTTGGGATAAAAATTATTTAAAATAAACTGTTCCGAATAAAAAGTGTCTCGGATAAAAATTATTTAAGGTATAAAACCTCTAAAGTCTATGAAAACGTCCCCGTTACTGCTATCCTTTTTTGGACCTTTTGTATACAGTTTAATTTTAAGTTGAAGGTTTGCGATAATAATTTTCCCAGCATTCTGCAATAAATAGAGTTAATTTTCTTTGAGGAAGGGCCCAGATAATACGTAATCGAGGGAATAGAAAGCTGACTGTACTAATTTTCACGTCTCAGTTTTACATTCAGAATTTTTGAAGCAAGGCCTCTTACCTCCATAAGGAGAAAAGCATCAAAATCGTGACAAGCAATAAAAAGGCACAAATGGCGACACCAGTACCAGCTATGGCATCAAAACTCACTTCTGCGTACAGTTCTTCCTAAAAGAGAGACAGACATGATTTGCAGTCATAAACAAGTAAGGAAATGATAAATATAACTAAAAGCATATATAAATAAAAAATTAAAATTAATACAAATAAAACTGCATTTAGTTTATGTGAAATTCAATCCAGCTTTAAAGTGTTGCTCTTATTATTAACATTAGCGGAAGAAGTAAAGCAACGCTTAAGAAGAAGTTGAAGTATTTAATCTGATGAAAAGATCTGAAAAGAATGAACGTTGTGGCGAGTTTTATGACTAATGCACCCTATCTTATATTAAAAAAGGCAAAAGTAAAACTGTTACACTGACAAAAGAATGCATATTTATCTGATAATAAAGTACTTACTGGAAGTGTATAATGAGTAAGCAGCAGTGCGTACGTGCCCAGCTTATAGCATTGGCAAACACTGTTGTTGCCGGCTTTCCAAATCAAGTGACAACTATTAGTAGTGAACTCAATCGTTCTGAAAAAGAAACAGCAGAAAGAATAGTCAGAAATTACTATGTTTACCTTTTTGAAAGTAAAACCTGTAACAAAGAGGACAAAAATAATGTGGATTACTAAAGGTGTAATTTATCATTCGATCCTAAAAATTATGTTACAGTTATTATTGGATATCTGTGTACGATTTATTACTCGATCGTGTAACAACTTAGTACAACTGAACACACACAGTAGGTCATCGAATCAAAAAATCCAGATTTAATCCATTTCGAATTTTATGGGCACAGTTTTTCGGTCGCATGGAAATTGTTATCCCTAGGAGAACAATCTGACAACCCAGGTCGTTAAATTCAAGCTTTTCAAGATTTTCGTCGAGTAAGATTTTCGTCTTTTTCATTGTTGCAAATATATATAAATATTTATGTTTATTTGATTATATTTTGACTTTCATTAAATTTTTGGTCACGGGGATTCTGTTTACTTTCTGTATTATGGATAACATAATCACAGAATGGAACCACATTTGGATTATGAATATAAATAAGAACGTTTTTTGTGTCGGAAGCTTCTGTCTTTAATCTGGCGACATTGAAGTGTATTAGCCAAGGCGACATTTTCAGAAGCCTTAAGTGTGATGTTTCTGGAGACTTCCGAAAGGCTTGGGCTAACGTATAAATACAAATGTGTTGCAACTTGCAACCTATAGATACAGAGTCGATCAGTTAAGTTAGCTGAAAGTAGCGCTATAATATTGAGCTTCCGCTTAATGCTTACTATTCTCAGTGATTTTGATGCTGTGGTTTATTCTTAACGTGCTAAGGAAAATTTATCCTTATCTCCGTTGTCTTCTTGAGTTATTTATAGCTGTTTACTTTGTATGAGCTGTTATTTATTTAAATAAAGTGTAAGTTTCTTTCTGTTCCTCTGGCTTAGTTATTAAGAACGTTAAAAACAACAGTCTACAGCAATATACAGTAAATGTAGCATTCACGTAATTATTACTTAAAAATATTCACTTAAAAATTAACAGTAATTATTATTAAGACCCAAAAGATTACATTTAATCATATTAACTTGTGTAATGAAAGCATGTAAACTCATTAAGGAGCATGCAAATCGAACATCAGTTGCACGAGTATGCGAGATTTATGAAATTGAAAGACAAACAGTTATCGAAATTATTAAAGGGAAAAAGAACATCCAAAGCGCACAAGCAAACCTAAGGCGCACCTTGCACAAGAAATGTAACTTCCGTTTTTAATGCCCCACTTAGGATATATATCAGATTTATATATAGTGTTATAATATAGGTATTCTGGCACAAAAGACTTTTTTAAAAATGACATACCAAGTTTTTTCCATATTTCGATTCTACAACTCAAATTATGTTGCAAGGATTATGTTAATTTTATTAACAGTTAAATTTTAAGTTCCTTTCCTGTCCAATTCTTAACTTACTACTTCCGGCCAGAATGTAGTTTTGGAATCTCGTCTGAATACATAATGAGGAGGAGCGGTATTTAACCGCGAAGTTCTACTTGCTGAGGGAGAGAAAATCAGAGTTTCTGATTAACGCGTGTTCGCCTTTTGGGCTACTCTCTCTCAAAGCTGTTATTACGCTCGGCTGTACTCAGGCCCTCGATAGCTTCGCAATCAATTAGCGTTAAGGGGCCAACTCGGTTAGAATCTTGATAGCTTCGGCTATATCTCTTTAGTTTAGATTAGATTTAGTTTACTTCTTAAACTCTTAAGCTCAAGCCGAAGTGTCGGCTTTTATTGTACACTCCAAGACGGAGTTCTGTTAAATTTTATTTGAATAATAAAGGGTTATTTACCCTTCCATCTTGTTGTTTCTTGTCACACGAACTCAAGCGATTATTAGCTTAATAGTTCTTAAGATTCCTCACGTTTAACAATAACTTAGCATTCACAAAGTGAGGAACTTTACAATGTCAAAATGCCAAGTAAAAATGCCTTGTAAAAATCGTAAAAGCAGTTTTTAAAAAAATTATCTCTCAAAATTTTGGCTTTCCACTGTTAATTTATAAGTTATTTCTCCCGCCTTCTTAGCATGCCTTCGTAGTGTAGTGGTCGGGTATTCCAGATGTCCGTGGTTCGATTCCCGGCGAAGGCGTTGCTCATTTTTCATCACTTCTGCTTTGAAATTAATGTCTCTATAAATTGAGTTTGGTATATATATTTATTAATATCGCTTCTGTATTAAAGTTACTTGATTCCTTTCACAGTTCAAAATTTAGGTTAAGTCCAAATGAAAGTCGCAGAGTATGATATATTTTTTAAATTTGTGTTTTTAATTTTTTTTATATTTAGCTTCATTTTGAATGAAATTTGTATATTTTTTGTGACTTACTTTTAAAATTTGTATTTAAAAAATATTTATAAATTTTTTGAAAAACATTTTAAATTATAATTTATAAAATTTACCATCACCTTAAAGTAGATGCATTTCTAGTCATACCTGAAAAAATTAAAGTTTTTATTCATAATTTCTCAAGCTATGCGTGAATTTACATATTGACAGGTTTTAAAATTTAGTATATTTGTTTTAAGCGATAATAACGTCAAATGTGGTTAACCCACTTTGTTAAAATTATTTGAAAGAATAAAAGATGCAACCTTCTTTTCAGCTCGAGCACAATGAAATGAAAAGATAAACCATAAATTAAAAATTTCGCCAAGTGAATTATTTTCGACGCAAAATGAAAAACGTATACCAAGATAAATTTTTAAATTTCTCCGTAAGATTCTCGCCAAATTTTACAGAATTTAATATCCAGACATAATTTGAGTCGTAAAATCGAACTATAAAAAATCCATATGTTACTTCAGAAAAAGGCGGATTTTGAGTCAAAATACCTGTGTTAGAACAAACCCAGATATAAATCTAATATATATCCTAAGTCACACTTTCGATAGATGAAAAACGCAAGCAAAATTTCATCAGCAAACCAAATAGAACAGGAGATATAAAATTCTCGCATTTTTTTGTGCAAGGTATACCTGGCGTTCGGAATTTGTTCTCTTTAAAAGCTGTGATGCATTCAAATAGCAGTAACATTTAGATGACTGATTATTCATCAGGTATCTTTTTGCATTATATTTGGCATAAATTTTAACAATTTCATTAGTAAAAACAAAACACTGTATGATGTAATTTCACTTAATATTTATTCTAAAGCCGATACTGAGGCACTAATTCGTCACTCGTTCTCTCTAAAATGTTCTTGATTTTAAATGATATTAATATACTAGAAATAAGGTTTGATTGAAATGATTTTATTAACTTATCACTGCTTGTAGAAGTTATCTGTTGCAAAGCCTTAAGTGCAATGTAACCTGAAAAATTTCAATTTAGTAGCATTAAAGTAATTAAAAAATAAATAAATTTAAAATTAGGCAAAAGAAACAACCCTAGTTCGGCCTAGCTTTTAAATTAAACCATACTGGTTTCGAAGGTGATCAGACTCAGAGATTGCTTCTCTTCCTCAAAAGCAAAATAATTTTTGCAAAGATGAGAGGAGAGAGAACCTTCTTATGACAAAAGCAACTAAACGGAGCAAAGCGAAAAGGAAAGCAGCGCCATCTGTATAGGAAAATAATAATGAAATTATTAAAATTCCGAAAGAATTAGGAAGAAACAGATTGGAATTGAAGTCATTAGTAAAAGAAGGTAAACAAAGCTTCAAGAAACTCAATTCAACAAATGTTTTGTTTTTTCTAATGCTTTCAGACTTCTAATACCTTCTAATGTTTCACATTTCATTACTATTTTATTACTCGACAGATGGCACTACGTTCGTTTTCATTTTGCTCCTCCTATTACTTTCGGTATAAGTCGTTGTCGCTTCTTTCAATTTTGCACAAGTGTTTTTGCTCCTGAAGAAAAGAAACTGTGTCTGATCACTCTCAAAATCAGTAGATTTTTATCCAAATTCTACGACAAATAAGGCTGCTTATATGCCTAATTTTAAATTTTTAATTTCCCTGACTCTCTTCGAGCTAGAAAATAAAAATCTTAGAATATATAAAAAAGTTTCATCTAAATGTATTATCTCCTTTAATACTTTTATTCTAAAATATTTGCAATGCTTTTTAAATCTCTTACTCAAAAAAAAAAAAAAAAAATACATACCCATGTTCAAAGTTTGCCATGGCACAAGATATGTTCCATCCTATATGTTTATCCTGAAAATATACAATAAAATATGAAGAGTTTTATTAGAATAACAGAGGTTCTCTGTCACTAAAACTTGAAAACTGTCATTTTGAATATACATTATATATTAACCACAAATTAAAAACATTTCATACACAGGAGAAGAAAATTTTATTATAGAATTCATTAAGCCTTGTTAATCGTAATAATCTGTCTTATTTATAATTATCACAAAGTTTTCATTAAACAGAGGACTGAAATTTTAATTATTTAAACAACTTCCAGTTACTCAAAGTATTAACGTGGACGATGTGCATGGTTAAGTCAAAAGTATGATTCATTCGAGAGCACATAAAAACACTAATAATCTATAATAATACTTAATAATCTAGAAGTAATTAGTTTAATTTGGAGCAGTTTAATATTTAAAATAAGTTAGTTTGTCAACATAGATGAAATCAGTATTCAAAGTACTTTTGCTCTTAAAGAACGTGTATCCGCACCCTCTCTTCCCGTTTCTTCTTGTCCCTGTCTATGTTTCATCCTTAATTCACGTGTTGTTTGTTCTTGTTTATATTACTAATGTATTTCGGTTTGGCTTATTTTGTTTATGACAAAGTACACAAGGGTTATATGCCTAAAGGAAGGAATGCCTATGTGGAGAACATTCTAAGGGCAATCTACCCTACATCTGGGGAAAACACAGAAACGCCCATGTACCATCGGATTCATCTGGAATGAAACGCAGGCTCGAACTACCACTAATCAGCGATGAACCGCTCGACCAGTGATAAGCTCGCTCGTATTTCAATAAGCGTCAATGTGAAATAGAAGAATAGATATACACTAATGATTATCTTTTAAGACTTAGAAATATACTTTTAAGACAGATACAACGATACTATAATATATATTTCTATACTGCGTACAATTAAATTAGTAGGTACTGCTGTTAATAGGTTAAGTTAGGCTATTTGAATGCCTTTGTGGAGGATTTCCTGAGCGAAAGTAGTTCATATTCATGTTACACACAGGAAAATCCCGAAAACTAGCTGAAAAGCCAAACGTTCATCTGGTCGAATTGCAGTCATTCAGTGTCTTAACCACTTGGCCATTGGTGCTGTGGTTAAAAACTAATCCCAAATACTATGCCGTCATCTGCTACAACTGCTCTTGTCTCACATATATTTTTTTCTCCTTTTAGTATTTTACATAGAGAGAAGTTCTTTAGTATTTTTCGCAGACTTTCCATCAGCGTAAATGCCATATTTCTATCGTTACGCATTAAAAAACTTAATTTTTTATGATAGAACTCAGTTAATCGACAACTCTGTTTTAAGTAACAGTTATGCAGTTTAATGGTAACAACAGCAAATGCCAACGTAATGAACGTAACTTTTATCTGTAAATGAACTAATTCGAGAAGAGGCCGAAATGTCAATCTCTGTAGGAAGGCCTAAGATAATTCCTCAACTGGTTGACACCGCTAACAATAGAAGCGAAAAGCTAAGTTCAACGAATCAAAATAAGTCCTGGCCAAATGATTATGCTATACCTAGAATATGATAATATCAGCATATTGTTTATGTGAAACAAAGATAGCTAACAGTTAGTAGGAAAGTTAAAGATATTAGCTGCTTTCAAGTTTCCAGTTATTTCTAGATAGTTGACAAAGGTAACATTATTAAAAGTATACTGAATTGCTCCTTGCATAGCTGTTGCATATTAGGAAAACAGTAAAAATGACTTTTAAGTAAGTAAACAGTAAAATGACTCCCTGCTCTCAAGTATAAAGATAAAGGCATTCGAAAGCTTAGTTTAAATTATATTGAGATACTGTACATGTTTCATATACCAGCGAATTTATTACTTTCAAATGATGTTTCACAAAAAAGATAAACCGAAAACTTTCAATTCGGCTTGTTTTCTGCTCACTCAATGTTTGCTCTTCTAAGTCAGTTTTTGATGAGGAAATGATTTATTTGAGATAGATAGAAATAGAAGTTTATCATTTTAGACTATTGATCAAGTAGGTAAAATGCTTCTATTTCTAACAAGATATAAACATTCTTCTACTTCGATTAATAATAATAATTTATTCATTTCTTTTTTTTCCCTGCTCTCAAGTATAAAGATAAGTCATTTTACAGAAATTCAGCTTTTGTGTTAGTTTTTCTTCTTTCAATAAAATACATAATTTCATCCATAAAAACGCTTTTTCTGACAAATTCTTGGGGTATGTACTATATCATTCCTCGTCAGTGTGGCTTGAGATCCACTAAGGAACAGGAAAGCTTTAAAACGTCGCATTATCGAGCCATAGGCTAGAATAAAGGAAGCATATAAATCTTCTCTTGCCCAGCACTGTTAGGCTGCAAATCATAAATGGTTCGAAAGGCAGTAAAGTGGCGTAGGAAAGCAAATGGGCATTATGAACATGCTTGAAAAATGTGGATAAGCACTTTTGACCCAGAAAATTAAAAACCTTACTTGATTACATGAATATAAGAGTCACTCATTTTTGTAAGAACCATAATAAATCATGTAAATCGATTCTTAACACACGTTGGTCTATATTGCATGTAGGATTATGTTTTTGTTACAAGGAAACGAAATTATAAACTATCAATCTAATATTCTAACAGCATGATCACAAATGCGATAATTAAGGATATTCAATATGCGCAAATAATATGTTTATTAAATATATATATCAGTCATGCGCTATGTCAGGGTCAATGATTTGTCAAACCTTTTCAGTGTTTTATTCAGAAGACATCTAGACATCTAGCATTTCATTGCTATACGGTGCAAGAAAAGGAGGCGGTAAACAAATTTATAGGAGGTACTGACAAGAAAAGGCTTTGAAGAGGAGGGGGTGAACAAAAAAATGGATTGGAAAAATATGATTTAAAGCAAAAAAATGAGAACTAAAAGTATCTGGAAAATTAAAATTACTCACTAAATCAAACGCAATAAAATAAACTACTTACTAAAATACACTTACTTATTAAAATGAATACGAATTAGACTTAAGATACAACAAAAAGTAAATATTTTCACATACAATTCTGTTTCAAAAAGCCAAAGAGTTATTACTTTACTAAAAGAATTTATTTATAGGGAGGTTATTAGCCCCAGAAAGTGTACAAAGTAGTTAAAGTGTCTGAAATAAGAGAAACGAAACTTACCGTAATTGTATGATTAAAGCTGTTTAAAGATATTTTGATATTGACATTTTCAGGATCCAGCTCGCCTCTTACACGTACAGCCACTAGACTGGAGATCAAGTGGTACTCGACATCAGCTACCCTAGTCAAAGTAACACATTAAGTGCTTCATCTAACACAAACTAAAATAAATAACGAACAAGTGCACTACAGGATATATAATACAAGTTTCACACACGCAGTAAACTTTGAATATTATCAATGAAAAGATTTATTTGAATATATTGCAAAAAATCGCTTACTTTTTATAACAGATTTATATTTAGTTTTTTATTGTAGGGATTTATATTTAGTTTAACTAAGTTAAAGTTTAATTTTAAAACTTTCCTATAAGCCCTCGTAGTGCGCGTGAAGGAATGCAAATTTCTACTTTGCAGGAGAGTTAGGCTATGACCGCCCCCTCTGCTGTAGATACTTTTCCTTGTTGCTGGTTCACGTGGCTTAACTGCATTTACTTGCTGCCCCTAGTTTCGAAGGTTTAAGTAACGGGATTTTGCTGAGCCTTGTAGGTTAGTTCTATAACTTGTTAATATCTTCAACTTTTAGTTTCATTATCTCATTTTCAGTTACCGTTCAAGCAGAGCCGAAGTTTGTTAGCGTCTATTTGACGCATTGTAAATTTTAAAAATTAATAAAGGGTACTTTTAATCCTTCTCTTCGTAGTTACTACTACTCCAGTCTTTCATACAGAAGTGCACCTGTTGGACCCTACAAGATGTTTGCCAAATTAAATATTAAGAAAAATCCAGCCCTCTCGGACTTGAACAAGAAATGTCTACGAGTAAAAGTGACATTAATGAAAATGTGCTTAAAGATTTGGCATACGAATTTATAAATTCTTGCTACCGGAAAGAAGAATAGTTGTGAGTGTATACTGATGGTTCCATAATGGGTGATTTCAGTTCATTGTTAGTCAGTTTCCTCATACGCACCCATTGGGCCATATGCAGCTGCTCTTGACAGTAAAATTTCGGCCATCCACTGAGCACGGCTACAACCACAGACTCGTCTGCAGCATTTTTCAAAGATGGTCTTTTTATCAGATTCCAGAGCCACTTTTCAAGCTATTGAGTTTCACAGTGATTCCCACTCTTCAATTGTCGATTGCTGCTCTGATATCCTCAACTGGCTCTTAAGTAGACACAAGTTTGTACGTGAATGGATTACTGCCCACAGCGGAATTCAGGGTAATGAGGCCGCAGATTTCTTTGTTAAGAAGGGAATTTCTGACTCCACAGCATGGTCTCCTTTACAATTCCACCAAATCAATTATTAGGAAAGACCTCAGAGAATCCTTTTTTCAGGAACTGGCAGATAGAAATAAATCATGGTTTAGATAGATTCTTTAAATAACCAAATGGCCTAGAGAGAAATCTGTTGCATTGTTGCAGCAGTGATGGCTACTAAGGCCATGGCTGCCTTAGTAAGGACCTCCAATGTATCAGCATTACTCCTGACTCTCTTTGCCCCTTATGAAATTTTAGGGAAGACATGGATTTGCCATCTCTCCGCAAAGCTCTGCTTTTCCTCGTGTTTTGATTTGGGAGCGCTACTGGGTGGCGATGTCCCTGAGTTTTATAAATATACTGATGCCAATTTTCTAGTTTTTATTTTGTATTTTATTTGATGTTCAGGTGTCTTGTAACGTGCCACTAGAAATATAAAAAGGTTAAGCAAAATTCAGTTTTAGATTGATTTAAATTAAATAACTCTATATGCGATTCATAACACAGTTGGCTATTGATCACGTTCTCTTTCAATGATCAAGTATTATAAACTGATTCTAAGACCTGTATGTACGATATGTTGCGTAAGCCTTAGAAGACTCTTATTGCGTTAATGTCACTGCCAAATGATTCACAGAGAATGGGGAAGAGCAATTTAGAATATGATAAAAATATTAATAAAAGCGTAAAGCAAAACTCTCTGAACAAAATTTTAATTTTATTCAGCTATATTTAGTTCTCAAAATTTCAACAATTTAGCCTTCAGTTTTCAATTTGATATTTTGCCTTTTTGTTTTTTTCACGATTTCTTATACCTTCAATAAACTTTTCATTTGTCCAGGTAACGAATTTCTTAGAGTTCTTTGCAAGGGAAACGCTTTTAATTCTTAACAAAGAGAATTGTTGCTTAGTAGTTTCCTTACACTGTTATATTTCATAATTTTAATACACTTGTTACTGACAGGAAAAAGTTACGCAATACCGAATGATAGAAGCTTTACAGCTGCAAGTAATATCCGATAGCAGTACAGAATGTTAAAGACTGGAATGTTAAAGATGGTATCTCCACATTTTAAAAACGATTCTGGGGCCGTTTAATCAATGTTTAAAATTCAAAGCGTAATTTAAAAAAAAAATGTTTGATCTGATAGCCAGTTCTTTGCATCATGATTTTCATGATGCAAATGATTTTAATGTTTAAAAGGAACTGTTCCATAAAAGATAGAGATTTCGAATATTCCAATTACGAATCTCCCTGTAACCTATACAGTAGGCACCCAGCAGTAAATCCATCAATCAACTAGTCAGTAATCCTCTTTCATTGCTTTCCAAAATCCATCAGATGGAGTGCGTTTGCGCTTACAAAGATCTTTCTTCAAATGACCTAAAGCATAATAGTCCATAGGTGAAACGCCAGAGAGGAATACGTTAGAAAGTATATATGCAATACCAGTATTACGTTTCATTTTCTCAAGGAATCCTGTGCTACCTTTCGAGCGATGACTTGTTGCTTGTCTTGATGAAGTTCCGCTCTCAAAGTCACTGGGATGAAGAAATAAAATTTGTTCTGTAAACATGACTTTCTTTTGATAGTACGTTGAATTTAACATTTTTTACTACGCTTCTTATTTTATTTTTCACTGCGAGGGATTCTTGCGGCAAACACAAAACGCTTTCTGAGACTTTTTTGCATTGACGAAATCAGGTTTACATAATTCTTCTTCAAAGTTTCTGATAATGAATAAACCTTTTTTTACTCTTTTGTAGGTAAACTCACGCTTCATCGAGACTCACAATATCGTTGCGTGCATACGGGTTCGTAATGGATTGAATGCAAAAGTCGATAAAAAGTGAATAAAATTTATTCTAATCTCAAGAAATAATAAAAAAAAAAAATGCTGAAATTTCCTCAGAGATATTCGTACAATATCGTAATATCTCACAGCAGTTATATTTTATACTACTAAAATATAAATAAAACTCAATTCAAAATACAGAGAAAGCTAATCCGATCTTACCGCGAATTCGTTACAATCAACAAGAATTAAATAAACAACTGAAATGAAATCTTTTCCTCCGGCTTTTATAAGCTTTTTAATTATGCACGAGAACATTCTGGTATTTTCTCGAGGTTTCTGGAAAGCAAAAGAGTACAATTACGAGATATCTATTTATTAAATGTTAAATGCGTGTTCTCCTGTATTTTTACTTTTTCGTGGTAGCTTTCTCTTAAAACTCGTCGCGCGCTGCATTGTATGGGGATATAAAACAATTTTAATTTCAGTTCTACTAAAAATAGCTAAATAAATGCAAAAACCGTAACAATATATTTCAATTTATTTCCCGTTAAATAGTTTTCATACAGGGTTCTAAAATTGTCCTCCGTTGAGTCACATGCTTCGGCAAAACCTGGTGAACATCATGTTTTTAGATTTTTTAAATTTAGTTTATTATTTTATTTTAGTTTATTATTTAATTTATTATTTAGTTTATTATTTTATTTATTATTACTACAAATATATCTAAAAGCTTTGCGATTGATTTCTGCGTTGGAGGAGTTTCTCTTGTTACAAACTATTTAACCATTACAAACAGTACGTACTATTTTCAGACATTCGTTTGAAGCCATTTTTCCATGTAGAAGCAATAATTCACGGTTTCTCCCTTCTGGGTTAACAATGTTGTTTATTTTGCAGTTAGAAATTTTAATACCATGTTTTTCTCAACATTTTTAAATTAGGGAATAAGAATATTTCTTTTCGGAAAGCGCAAAAACATATCCTTCAATCCACAACTTGTTTACATGCAACAGTTTGAAAGATCAATATATTTAAGAATAGTAAAGAATATTTTTCATTTCAAGTAATACGCTATCGCCAGAAATGCTTATTCCAAAACATTTGCTTCTCTTACCGTAAGACGCACTGGCACATAAGACGCACCCTTATTTAGACGGCCACACACAAGGAAAAAAAGTTTCAATAGCGTGGTTTCTTTTAGTTCTCACGTTTTGTAAAAGCCAAATAAACAATTATTGAATGCAATTCCCTTCACGTATAAGACTGTGTCCTTCACGTATAAGACTGTCCTTCACGTATAAGACGCAGGTAACTTTTTTGAGACCAAATTTAGGAAAAAAAGTGCGTCTTATATGCCGTCAAATACGGTTTACATGATATAAGTAATGCTCTCAAATAAACTCACCCTTTTTTCGAGTAAAATCTTTGAGGTAAGTGAGAAGATAAATTTCTGTAGAAAACTGCAATAACTGATGTTGTAGAGTTACCTGAAAATAAACGAAAATAATAGCAGAAACATTCTATTTTACATTTATTTTTAATGGAAAAAATCGAAAGAGAAACAAAGTAAAGTTTTATAGCAAAAATTTGCTTGTCGTTACAGAAAGATACATATCGGTGCTGCGTCACAGCCAAGAAGAGTTTAGTGTCTAATAATTTTTGCCGTTTGAAGCTTTTTTTCTAATATTAAATTACTCTGGAATAAAATACATATTTGTAAGAATTTAACACAGAGTTTAATAAATTTGCGTGTAATTAATATATAAGGTGATTTTATATAAATATTTCATTTAAATTGTAACTTGAAAATCTTTCGTTTATATTAGAAGACTTAGGCATTTAGGAACTTGGCGATATAACTCGGAAATTGACGGTTCTCTAAGGTTCAGACAATTGCGCAAAATTCTTCAGTAGGCTTGACAAACATATCCCTCCTACTTCAACCAAAGAGCAACATATTGTTACGTGTTGTGGTTTCGAAGAGATATTATTAACTAGGTCAGCTTAACAGAAAGAAATTGCTACTTTATTTAAAGAAATAACGATTCACACAACAAAGTAAATCGCTACAAGTAGCATTTACAGAGCATACTTTAAGGCGGTAATTACTGAAGAAAAGCTCAATACAGTCGTACGACTCTTAAGTGAATTAGACATCTAACTGATGAAAGAGATGATTAATAAATACGATTTTTCTGAAAGTCTCCAGCAGTTCTTCTAGAAAAATAGCTTTGAAGGGTTTGAAAATGTGTTTTCTGGGAACTTCCAAGTTGGTCAAAAGTTACCAAAGGTGACTAACCTAGCGACAGAGAGTTTTACCAAGGTCTTTAAAGGTGGATTTTTGACACCTTATCTCTGGTTTTGTTCAGTAATATTTAAAGTTCGGATGTCGATCTATTCCAATGTTCAAGATTTGCAACATAATACACTAACAGTTACAAATAAAATCAGAGCCTAAAATTTGATTAAACAAAAATACACAATAAAATATTACGCAAAACACAAAGTACAATCAGCGCAACACCACTATAAAGCCTTAAAAACAAAGCTTTTGACCAAGAATGAAATTAACCAGTGATTGTTTGCTCAGCTGTTAGTTAGTATCGTTGCTAATATATTAGCCTTTATTTTAATATCGAGTAAACTTATCGGGACTTGTATTTCTCTTTATCTGCTTTGGGAACATGAAGTATCCTGACGAGACAGTGAGTTTGACTTCAAACTATGTCTTATGGAGTGTATAAGAGACGACAAGATGAGAAGGATTCAATTACCCTTTATTTTCCATGATATTACAAGCGCACGTCGGGATACAAAGACCAACCACTTGTGGTCTGAATGTAAAAATATGCAAACTACCAACTAACTTTGGAGTTAACTTTGGAAACTTTACACAAATGACTAACACTAAGACTGGCCTTTTAAATTATTACGTATGTAGTACGCAAATTGCGGAAAACTATAAAACGTCTTTAGCTTTCAAGAGGGACTAAAACCTCTGGCCTTAAAGGCGGACAGCAACTGATTGCAGGCTCGTGTGAAATGTAGTGGCAAGGCGGCTCACTCTCGAGTCATCTAACTCTGCCCTAGGCAAAAAGCCACAAATTAAATACTTAAGCGTTAGCAAGTACAATTCGCATAAACATATTATTTATGCGTTTATTCTGGCCGAGAGTAGAAAATAAGAGAAGATAGTACAGTTTTAAAACTAAATAAACGTTAGTAAAACTTAGATCCTTACAAACTTCAGAATTAACTTTATCATTTCGGATAAATTTTTTTATTACTTGACATCAAACTCATTCCTAATTATGAACATTACTTTCTGTTATACTGTGTTATTAAATCCCAGTTTTGGTTACTAACAACACTTAATGATACTTAATAACAACACTTAATGATACTCAACTTAAATGATACGAGACAAGCACACAGTTGTAAAAATGAAAATTAGAAACAAAAGGTAGAAAAATAGCTCGTACTCTTTTCTTAGCTGCGCCGATTGTAGCTATTATATAATAATCTGAAATTTTCAACTTAAAATTAAAGAACACCAACACAAATTATTAAAAAGTTCAAATTATTAAATACGTGCAAAACAGAAATTAATGTTCGGAGCCTCACTGACTCAGTTTTAGCTTCGAAACCTCACGTCGTAGAGCTAACAAACACAAAAATCCCTCAACGAGAATCAGATCGGAAGACAGGGGGACATTTCAGGGAAAAGCAGCTATCGGGAAAGCTGTCAAGAGTTCTCTGGTATTATACATAACAAAAACCGGAGATAAGGTAAAAAATCCTCCTTACCTCTACTACAAGTTCGCTCGCTGTACTGATAAGATACACCCCATCGATATTATATATCTAACATAATACCGATATTATATATCCCATCGATATTATATATCTAATATTATAGCGACGATTATTAGTTAAAATTATAACAATGATCGTATTTAATATTATAACGATGATATTATCTAACATTAGAACGATATTAATCCCATTGATAATCCCATTGATATTATGTATGTAATACTATAATGGTATTATACATCCCATCGATATTATATATCTAATATTATAAACATATTTTATATCCCATCGACGTTATATATCTAATATTATAACGATATTAAACATCATATCGATATTATATATATAATATTATAATGATATTATTTATCCCATCGATATTATATATATCCCATCGATGTTATGTATCTAGTATACTATAATGAATCATACATCCCATCGATATTATATATCTAACGTTATAACGATATTATATATGTAATATTATAACGATATTATACATCGCATCGATATTACATATTTAACATTATAACGATAATAAATATATCCCATCAATATCATATATATCTAAAATTATAACGATATTATTTATACTATCGATATTATGCATCTAATATATTATAACGATATCATACATCCCATCGATATTAAATATCATTATAACGATATAAGTAATTTTATAACAATGTTATACATCCTATCGATATTAAATATCTAACATTATAACGATATTATATATGTAATTTTAAAACAATGTTATACATCCCATCGATATTTTATATCCAATATTATAACGATATTATATAGAGGGTGTCCCGTAAATGTTGCAACAAACTCCTGGGGGAGGTAGGGAGCTACGCAGGCGAGTCTTGCCACGAGATCCATTTCAGACACAACAGGATCGTGATACACACTTTTAATGGCTTCCTACAAAACGAAGGCTCGATAAATCCGGTGAGCGGGGGGGGGCAGGAAACTGGTCCATCACGCCCAGTCCATCGGGGCGGAAATGATCTGTTCAAATGGCTACGAACATCTAACAATACACGTGAATGACAAACTCAGTTGAACTCGATCTTACGCATTTGAGTCCAAAATGAGCCCACTTCTTAATGACCCGTAGTCGCACAAATTTTGATGCAGACGGGCAAACAAACTGTGGTATAGTTGATGTCTGTCGGAGAAGCGTTCTCGATAAATGCGTGCAGCGGTTCGTCCATTACCCTCAGCTATTCCATACACAAAGTGCATGTCTGCAAGCTCCCAGTTCGTATAGCGTTTCATGCTCTTCGCATGGTACCTACCGCTCGAATGAGACAATCCTCACTTGTAATGATGTGTTCTGGGACGCACTCTCCTGTAGAGCACCCCCTGGCGGCGTACAATAACGTTTCTGGGCATGGGTTCCTATAAAATTCTTAATCCTTATGATGTGCCCTACCTCCCCCAGAAGTTTGTCGCCATATCTACGGGACACCCTGTATATCTTATCAATATTATATATTTAATATCATAACAATATTATACATCCCGTCGATATTATATATATGACATTATAATTATATTATATATCCCATCGGTATTATATATATAATATTATAACGATATTATACATCCTATCGATGTTATATATTTAACATTATAATGATATTATATATTCCATCCATATTATATATGTTATATTGTAAAGATATTATATATTTCATCGATATTATATATGCATTATTACCAAGATATCATATATCCCATCGAAATTATATATCTAATATTATAACGATAGTATGACTCCCATGAATGAACAATACATAACTGCAAATGTATTTTTCGTTTAGTTCATAATCGTTAAATATAGCAATAAAAATCTCATGGATGATAAATATATAATATGCAGTTAGCAATGTAAAAGACTCGGTTTGTTTAATTTATAATTGTTATTTAAAATAATGAAATGACACAAGATGAATCTTTACCTTCATCATTTTCATCCAGATTCAAATGCGTAAGATCGAGTTCAACTGAATTTGTCATCCACGTGTATTGTACGGGTTGAGGTTCTGCAAATTTGTTAACAGGTGAAAATCTTTGAGATGGTATTTTCAATGGCTGCTGCGTGCGTTCCGGAATTTTCCCCAGTTGAACAGCTGTAAATTGAAAAATATTTTTTAAATGGGAATCAGGAATAATTATTGCAGACATACTTTTGCATTTAAGTGGAGAAAGAATTTGTCAAATACAGAGGGTGTTTATACATTTTTTGAAGGATTTTGAAAAAGAATAAAAAAAAATCTGATGTGTGCACCACATGAATTCATTGTACGGAATATTAAATTACACCCATTTTTTCTTGCATTTCATTTAAACTTATTAGACTGAATTAAATCTAATTCGTCGATAGCGCATAAACCACAATAGAATAAATGCACTCTTTAAAATTCACTATATTTGTTTACCATAGCGACACTCTGGCCTAGGCTACTTAACACATTACATTTCATTCATTTTTAATTCAGAATGCAACAAAATTTATATCATTAGAAGTTCTAATCATGCCACATGTCCTATTCAAAAGTCTAAAACGATGTATAAAGAAATTAAACAAACAAATAAATAAAAGAAACTGTTTTTCCACAGACGATTCTATTTTTCAAGTATTTCAGTTCTCCCTCCGCGACAAAGCAAAAATACATTAAAACTCGGCATTGAAAATATGAAAGTAAATCTTAACAATTATTTCCTCGAATACTTCAGAATGGATTAAGCATAATTTAATTCGCAATAATAAAAGGAGGCGTTATCTTTTGTCATTGCGAAGCTTATTTCTCTAGATTGGCGAAAATCTTACTAATCTACTATTCTGCTTTTTCAAATGTAAAAAGCAGGCCGTTTGGAAAAAACTTAGGCTTAGCGACACTTAAACAATTTTAAATTGGCTGATATTCTAAACATTGCATACAGATTAGCTAAAGGCATAAAAACCATAACCGGAAGATAAGAACACATAATTCAATCCATTTTTAAAGCAAAAATGCACCAATTACAAAAATAAAGAATAAAGAAACTGAGACACTGAGCCGAGTACAGAGTGGATATATATATATATATATATATATATATATATATATGTATAAAACATATTTATATACTTTTGGTGGCGACCGATTCAACAAAATCGAGGTAGACCTCTACATGGTTAGCAGTCCTATACAAAATTTCAACGTCTTGAGCTACTCGTTTTTGAGTTATGCGAGATACGTACGGACGTTCGCACAGTCGCCCGAAAAATTCTCCCGAATTATTTTAAAGCAGTTTTATTTTTTTAGGAAAGGTCTTTATTCTGTCTTGCGTACAGGTGTCACGCATAAACAAAAACATCGTTAAATTGCATTCGATAGCGGTGCAAATGGATATTTGCGTTGAAATATGATGCCTGAAACTTTTCGTGATTACAATACTTCCTTTTCCTTCGTACAAGGAAGTAAAAAAGCAAATGTTCTGGAATAAAACTTTCTGGAAACAACCTATTATTTGAAATAAAAAATAAGTCTCTACTTTTAAATTTACTCTCTCTTTCAAAATGATGTATGTAAACAAGCTGTGGATTATAGGATGCATTTTTGAGCATGCCGAAAAGAAATGTTCCTGTTCCATAATTAAAAGACATTGCCAAATGCTTAGTATTAAAATTTATAAACAACATTATTAATCGGAAGAGGAAATACCGTCAAACTTTACTTCTACATGGAGAGAAGACTCTAAGAGAATACCTGAAAAAGGTACTGATCCTATGTTTTTAAATTAAATCGTTGGCAACAAAAACCTTTCCGATGCAGAAATGAATTGCAAAATCTTTAAATACATCTGTAGCAATAGTAAATAAAATAATAAACCAAGATTTACAAATTGAAAAAGCTAAAAAACATAATGTTCAGCAGCTTTCGCCGAGGCATATAATTCAAAGCAAGACAATTTGTAAGAACATTGTATAAGAACTATTTAGCTGGAGATAAATGGAAACACATTGTGACCCTCCAAAAAGCCTGAGTTTACCTAAACGACTGCCCACAAAAAAAAAAAAAAAAAAAAAAAAAAAAAAGTTTTATTATTAAGAAAGGAAGAGCAATAAGGTATAATCTGATCTCATCAAAATAAACAATAAGAAGTATTATAAATGTTCGCTACAATGAAGAAATAAAAAAAAGAGAAAAAAAAAAAAAAAAAAAAAAAAAGTTTTCATATTTTATGTTACGCTAAAAGGGACTTTTTTTTAACGTTTTGTGTGTTACCTTTATTTATTAAATATGACGCTTTATTTATTATAATATCTTTGCACTTAAACCATAAAATTTCATTCAACAGCAACGTCACAAAATATTTTAAAATAACATGTCTAGAATTTCCGATACTCAGTCTCGCACGCTGGAGATTAAAATTTTTTTTTTTTTTTTTCCGTACCGTGTTTCCATTGCTCGCTTTGAAATCGTTCAATTTGTTAATTAAATATTCTTTAAAGTTTTAAAAAATATGAAATTCCTAATTTGGGCTTCCAGGTGCCCAATTTGGGGGCCACGTTATTCAAAATTTCATGACAAGGTACCGTTGTTTTATTACAATGCAAGAAATCTGCATTATTTAATTTCTTTAAATATGACACAGCGCGATAATATTTGGTGGCAACAATTTGAAAAAGGAACATTTATAGTGAACCAATGCAAAATGCCAAAAGGAAATTAATAGCCCTTTTGGGCTAAGGCCCTTTGGGCTAAAAATCAACTCAACGTATTATCAAGTTTCATGTTCGATATCTGTAGCCAAATCCTAGTGATGAAGAATCATCATTCACCACCTTATAGTTCGGGCGCCACTGTAGAGCCACCAGAATTTTTTTGCAGCAGGAGATGTGAAAAATGAGAATCACCTTCGCTGGGATTCGAACCACGGGCCTCTCGAATACGCGCCGAGCTTGCTGACCACTACACTACGAAGGCATGCAAAGAAGGCGGGAGAAATACCTTATACCTGAAGTTGTTGTTTAAGCAATGTGTAAACATCATCTGTACAGGAATAAAACAGCATAGTACTTTCAAATTCTTATTTTTATAAAATAATAAAGAAATAACTAATAATAAGAAACAGAAATATATAAAAAAGAAATTGTGAATGTGTTTAAACAACAGTGAACACTACATTAAGAAAACATGAACTTTTCTTTATAATGATTAATATTTCGCGCCATGAGCACAGTAGAGACAATAATACTCTTACAGTATAAGATTTATTTTTATTGAAAAAGAATTTAAAAAAGCAATTAGAGTCCGCTGATAAAGGAAATATGGCTTCGGGAAGAACTTTCCAAGGGGAACAGGTTTATTTTTATGTTACTAAAAAGAAAATCGCGGAAATATTTTTCTAGAAGTTTATAGCACTTGCGAGAACAAAAGTCGGATGAAACTACCGACGTTCTGCGATTATAGCGAAGAGTGAATATTAGTGTAACAAAGAGAAAAAAAATTACTCTTTGGATTCTTTGAAAGCATAGTATTCATTGAAATGTTTTTTTTTTTTTTTTTTTGTAATTTCTGTGGCATGAAATTTAAATACGCTGTTGGACACCCAACTTGCAACACCAAGAAAGAAAAGAGATATCACAACAAAATTTATACATTTACATTTATTTAGTAGATAACATGTTGACAAAGTATCAAATGATTAAATTTATAGACTCTGTGAAGTGTGGTTCTCAGAATCAGTAGTACAGGTAGCTCGCCATGTGGAGATCACCGCTGCCACCGCCTCGCATTGATTCAAAGAGACTTTGGACTGTTCTTTGGCAGCAACCAAGCAGCTTCCAGACGTTGCCAAAGTTGATCGGTTTGGCAGCTGGATATAATCTGGGTCATCGTTGCAATGGACCCCTGTTTCTGTCGGCGAAAGATCCGGAGCGAGTCGGCTAAGAAGCAATTGAATCTGGCGATTGACGAATAACCTTGGACAATGCGTGCCAGTTGGTCACGATTATACTGTTGACATATGGCTGTGAGCAGCCGCTGGTAAGGAACGACAACTGGCGCCAACACCTCGGAGATGTAGCGCTGGTGTTTAAAGTACGGGTATTAGAGGAGTGCGAGAGTGATATCAATACCGCCCATACCATAATACCCTGTCATAAGCACTGTCAGTTCCTTCCACGGGGGTATCCAGCCTCGACTCCGATCATCGTGGTGTTGCAACAGAAGCGTGATCCGTCGTAATGAATTTTTCTTCTTCCCGCCACATCCTCATTTTATCGCACCATTGCGGCGGAGCCATGCGCACAATGTTCCTGTATCACGTGAAGTGGTGCACTAAGGTAGAGGATCGAACACGTGGTCCGTCGACCCTTCTGCATCCAACGTAACATATCGCATTACAATTGGTTGGTTCGTCCAAACGATTACCGATTTCCCTGAAAGAATCCCACTCTCGGGTAGGCCGCATCCTTCCTCTGTCGACTCGATACTTGATCAACGATGATCGCTGTTTATTACGAGGCATAATTGATCTTTTTTTAGGGAAAAAAAACCACAAGGAAACAAATTGCCGAACTTGAAATCGTCGAAAACAAAGCCTTAAATATTAGCTTTGAAGTGGCAGCAGGCGCGCGCGGATGCGTCGCGTTGAATTCTAAACATTTGCACATCTCACCCCGCTATGCATGTTGTAAATTCATGTTATTTGGCATCTTCCTTTCAGGGTTACGGTGCATTGCGGTGGTCAGCATTGTATAAACAAGAAATATGTCAAATCTTTTATACACGTTGTCATCAAAAATATTCATGCTGTCTTTTCGTAGTCATTACTCAGACAACATATATTATTTATATACATATATATTATACATATATATTATACATATATATTTACTTTGAAAAGAAACATATTCACATTATAGAATTTTAAAATTCAAATCATCAATCTCATAAAAACAATGAAAACTGAATATTTATGCATTCTCCTGTCACTATAATTATATTTAGTAAAAGTTCACGCCCATTCTAAAAAATAACACAATAATGGTTTGGCTCTTTAACGTCAAAAACGAACGAGATATTTAATTTTAAAGTTTCAAAGTCGTACTATAAGGTATTTTCCCTCTCTTTTTCAG